AGTGTGTCATCACACAGAAACAGTGACGTCAGGAGTGTGTGACGTCACATAGAAACAATGGCATGCACGCTGAGGTACCCATGTTCGTGCGAGCGTCTCAGAAACAGGCACCACGCCCATGGCCCTACTAGGCAAGCGCTTGTTTTCCAGAGACATCTCGCGGTTTAATTTGGGTTAGGGCCTCTCCATTAAACTGAACGCTACCTGAATGTACTGGTGCTCTTTCTCAGTGGTGCCCACTCGTTCCCTCATTAGTCAGTTCTTTTGTGCTGAGTGAATTATGTTTCGCAGAAGTTATGCTGGCATGAATGGATGACGACCGGGAAAATAACGGACCATTTTGAGTGTGTAATGAATAAGTGGCGGGCTAGGTAGCTTCACAACGGTGTTATGTCCCAGTTATATTGGTGTAATTACGTCTACAAATTTTGCTTCGATGGTTAGTTAATCCGATGACAGTCAAGCGAATGATGCACGCGATATAGCTCTCATTTAACAGTTATTGGGCCAGTTATTTCAACTTCAGTAATGAAAGGTTACATGCTATCTGACGATGCAGCATATGAGAATTAACCAATGCAGGTGTCCATGGCAACTGTACAGTGCTGCCTCACGCATAATCAACCGCAAGATATTTTCACTTCTGTTGTTCGAAGACGAAATGCAATCAAATGCTGCTTTAAGGTATTATGCTCGTGATTGCACATAGGTGCTACAAGTGAGCACTCGTCATGAACGGAACGCATAGTGAATGACCGGGACGACTAGCCCAGGCCGAATCGCTCCGCATTGTACAGTGGGTTACGCCCGTCCATCATTGTATAAATAGTGGGCTTCTCCAGGCTGGTGTTCTCCAGGTTCTCCAGGCTGGCTTGTAAGGCTGCTGCTCCAACGCAGACTCGCATTTATTTACTATCATGCCTTATCTCCACCGCATCTCATCCCACAACAACACAGGCGGCGAGCGTATCCGGGCCGGCTCTGAGGGCCGCCGGCGCTGATTGGCTACCTGAGCGCGGTCTTGACCAATCAGCGGCTAGCGTGGGCGCGTGGGCGCGGCGCGCCCGACTCGCGTGTCATGGCCCGGTACACGATCCGTGCGGGAGAGGGGCCCGCAGCCGTCAACGAGGAGAGTTGGTGAAGCTCAGGGGTGCAGTTCCAAACAATAACTTGAGGAGGCTGCGCAAGAAAAATCACTTCAGCTGCCCTCAATACACATCAATAAACGTGTATTTCCCCTTTTTTCAAGTTAGGGTGGGGGGGGGGGAGGTAGGGCTGATGCCCCCTCCAGCTAAATAGGTAATTACGCCTTGGTGGATTATTCTTGAATATTGCAAGGAGAGTATTTATTCCGGTTTGTTCTTGTTATTTCGGTTGTTCTGCCTGTACAAGATCTGTACGTGCCAGTGGGTTCCGGCTTGGTGGCGGAGACGGAGTGCCCGGCGGGTCGTCTCGGTCAAGCTCTAACCTCAACCCATTCAAGGCGTGACTGGCCTTGCCTGACTGAATGTGATGCTGGCATCCATGCCTTCTTGATGTCAGAATTTGGAGATTGCAAAGCACGTGCACTTTCTAAAAAAATTATTATACATGTTAAATTATAATGATTAGAGGCCCAGCGTTGCGCGATACCCAATTTGTTTCAAGGTATCGTTTGATTTTTTATAATTTATGGTCTGGATTTTGGATGGCGTTGTACCTGATTATCGAAAGATATGTTTGCATCCGATCTATCCAGCTTATCCGAATTATTTTATTCGGAGCCGAACCAGCCATATTCCATTTCCAGTCGTCTCACTTGAAATTCTGGAAGTCCAAAACAGCACGTGCTAGATTATCCGATTCACGCATTGCACGCGACACTACGTGACCAGCTGCACACCAGAAAGGAGATGTGTGGCAATGTACATTTGTGCTTCTAGTCACAGTCACATTGCTTTGGTTCCGCGGCATGACGAGACGCGGGCTGCGAAATGTCCTTTCACAGCCTCAATGCCCGCTGCGCGGTATGTGATAAACAAGACATTTGAAATGTGAAAGTACGGCATGCCTAATGAACTCGGGGGTTCTCAACCTGGCGTTCTCAAAATGGCGTTCTCATGCAAACGTTATCTGTCTTGACAAAATTCGACAATTCAAGCAGTGCTCATGCCTACGAGGGAGCAAATTTAGGCAAAACAGGAGCGGGGGAAAAGCGAATCATGAAATGAGAAATTGTTTCAACGTGAATGCTGTGATAAGGCACGAACATTTTTAAGTGGCCTTGCTCTTTATCCCTCCCACACACACATACATACACACACACACACACACACACACACCACCAACACACACACACACACACAACACACCCACACCCACACACACACACAACACACCCACAACACAACACAAACACACACCCACACCAACACACACACACACACACACACACACCACACACACCACAACACATACCAACACACACACACACACAACCACACACAACACACACACACACACACACACACACACACCACACACAAACACACACACCACACACCACACACACGCACGCACGCAACGCACAACGACAACGCGGTATCTGTGGCGTGTGGCGTCCCTCCCGGCCTGCACAATGGGACATGGAGTTCCTCGCTGCGTGCGGACCGGATTGCTGCCAAAATTGGCACCCCGCTTCCAGACATACAGACCACGCGGTCAGAAGCCTCGGAAAACGTTGTTTGATGAACCTGCAGGATACCTTTGGCATACGAACGGCGGCCGGCGCATTAATACAGTCATCTAACGTGCCCGAGGTATTGAAGGCCAGGCCTACCTTGGCTGATGAAAATGTGGTAGTAGCTGAGCAGGTTGGCATGTTGTAGCACACGATACAGCTGTAGCTCGGACTCGTTGGTTGGTAAGAATGTCATCCCGTCTGAAACAGAGGAGGACCTGTCGCTGAAGCTCGGGACACAGCAGAGCCTGCCACTGAGGCTCGGAATGCTGCAAGACCTGTCACTAAAACTCGGGACACAGCAGAGGCTGTTATTGAGGCTCGGAACGCTGCAGGACCTGTCACTGAAGCTCGGAACGCTGGTATGGTATGAGGTACGCATCCAGACCAGACCCATCTGAGAATAACCCCGGTTGACAGTGCGTGGAGCCGATGGGACCGGCCGGCCCCAGTGTGATGATGTCCGCGCTTCGCGGAGTGCACTGGAAGGTTCGCGTCGCCCCAGCGGCCGTGTCAGGTGGGTTTGTTGCTGTCAGGAGTGATGTGAGCTCACTCCATCGCTCGCTAGCGATCGCATTTGCTGCTAATCGCCGTGTGCATTGATTCCAATCGATATCTGCTTCTCCTCTGATGAGGTTTTGTCTATATCACTCCCTTTTTCCCTCTTAATCTCTCTCTTTTTCCTCCCCCCCCCCCCCCTCTGGCGTCCCTGTTTCCGCAGCCTCCGAGGCAGCTTTCTTTCTGTGTCATGAGGAAGAAAATAATCCTCATTTTCTTCGTTAAGAATATTTTCTCAGCTCATACTATCACCTAACATGCCCTCCTGACACTTATTCAGAGTCGGGTTGATTCTGGTATCTGTAAGCGCCATCCACCCAAATCGGACGTGACACTATTCATCAAGCCTCTCAACCAAGGAACAAGATGTCTTTTGTTCACCTAGAGCTCTAAATGTCCATGTCAAGACACTGAAACAACACGAAGGCCAGTGACCGGGCACCGCACGGGCTGTGAACTCGCTTGGCAAACACCATACACGAAAACAAACCTCGCTATGGCGCGATGAAGAGCAGACACAAACATGGCTGCGACATGGTCTGATTGTCCGGAACAAACTACGCCTACAGACCAACACGTCCCGCATGTCCTAGATACCGTGCGTGTCGTGATCCGTGTCGCGACTTATCACTGTGTACCGCATTTCGCATTGGGTGTAGTTAGTCTTATTGTAAAAGAAGCACAGAAAAGCGAACACGCATGCAAAACGGGCGGCTGGTGCGGCCACGGCTGTATGCAGACGGCGCGCATTTCTCGGTCAGATTCAGAATGGACGCATCAAGGAAATTTGTCAAAATTGTTATGCACAACAGATGCGCAAAAGTTTACCTCAGGTAAACTCAGGTACTTGAGTACTCAAAGCACTCAGGTTGTACTTTTATGTGATAAGTTATGCCCGCCCACAGGAAAGAAAACAAGGAAATATTCCCGGCCAGCATCCTGGTTAAGCATGTAAAATTTGTTCAGTAAAAGCATCGTATGTTTAAGCATGAATATGTGTACAACTGAGTGGGGTACGACGAAGTAAACTTGGCTGCGTGTATGAAACCATTGGTTTTGTTGAGGTTTGTAACTTTCGTACCTACCTTGCTGAAATATTTTTATATAAGTTTTTAACACAATACCGTGCCCAGAAGTTTATTCTCCTGTCTGGGTGTATTGCTATGACTTTTATATATTTAGGCGTATAGCGTATTGCTAAGATATTCATGTGCGCATTCTGTTTCGCTTCCAGCTCATGATGAAGGCATAGAGGCCATTTATACAGAGTTTTTTTGTGAAAAATAGACATGAATGAAAAGCGCCAAATGCAGCGTTTTCAGTGAAATACCTACATTCTTAACGCATATGTGACATGTCCAATGAACATATCACATACACTGGCAAAATAATTATCGTTCGCCCTTTAATAACCCTCTGTTGCCTGATGGTGTCCAGTTTACATGTCGTAAAGGCCCGTGATGTATCGTTCTTCGTTCATTTCGCAGCGTTTCACATGCTTATCCGATGAGCGCAAAGCTCAAAACGTAGATAAAGTCACAATTTAAAGCAATTTTCAAAGCGTCACTTAAGTCGAAACTGGTCACAAGGCATTGAAACTAGCGCTACGCAGCAAAAAAAACAAAACAAAAAAAAACATGAAGCTTTGGCACAACGGTGCTCGTACGTCGTTCTTCAACCTGCTCTCTATTCCCGGCAGAGGTCACACACATAAGATAGTTGCCCCTTGTTGGCATCAGTGCATGGTTCACTCGCCTATTTTGTGCACGTTATGCGCCGAATCCAGAATCCGCAAGACAAGCGGTACAACATAAAACAGACGAGGCACCTAGTGTCTACCCCGCGTCGTGCTCTCCTGTACCGCTCTTGCCTTTATCCAATGTCCCTGTTTTTGTTTTGCCTTGGCTTTTCTTTTTGCAGGGACTGTTTTGCATGGCGAAGAGGTTACCACAGCGCATTTCTCCTATCGCCGTGGCGCTCGCGTTTTGGGGCCCATGGCAACGGGAGCAGGTTCTGAACGATCTAAATGCCGCCAGGACCGGCCACAGGTTCGTTATGTGTTGCAGAACTGGACGTTGCTCCTGCCTCCACCGTCCGTGCGGCTGGAGTCGACTCCAACTCTGCAGTATCTCCTGTCGTGCCGTCTGTAGCACTCCGTAGCCCGCTGCCTCCACCGTGCATGCGGCTGGAGTCGATTCCAACTCTGCAGTATCTTCTGTCGTGCCGTCTGTAGCACTCCGCAGCCCGCTGCCTCCGCCGTCCGTGCGGCTGGAGTCGACTCCAACTCTGCAGTATCTCCTGTCGTGCCGTCTGTAGCACTCCGCGGCCCGCTGTCACCACCCGTGCCCGACACTGGATTTAGTTCCAGCTCTGCCCTATCTCCTGTCGTGCCGTCTGTAGCACTCCGCGGCCCGCTGTCACCACCCGTGCCCGACACTGGATTTAGTTCCAGCTCGGCACTATCTCCTGTCGTGCCGTCTGTAGCACTCCGCGGCCCGCTGTCACGCACTATCTCCTGCCGTGCCGCCTGTAGCACTCCGCGGCCCGCTGTCACCACCCATGCCCGACACTGGATTTAGTTCCAGCTCTGCCCTATCTCCTGTCGTGCCGTCTGTAGCACTCCGCGGCCCGCTGTCACCACCCGTGCCCGACACTGGATTTAGTTCCAGCTCTGCCCTCTGTCACCACCCGTGCCCGACACTGGATTTAGTTCCAGCTCTGCCCTATCTCCTGTCGTGCCGTCTGTAGCACTCCGTAGCCCGCTGTCACCACCCGTGCCCGACACTGGATTTAGTTCCAACTCTGCCCTATCTCCCGTCGTGCCGTCTGTAGCACTCGTAGCCCGCTGTCACCACCCGTGCCCGACGCTGGATTTAGTTCCAGCTCTGCACTATCTCCTGTCGTGCCGTCTGTAGCACTCCGCGGCCCGCTGTCACCACCCGTGCCCGACATTGGATTTAGTTCCAGCTCTGCACTATCTCCTGTCGTGCCGTCTGTAGCACTCCGCGGCCCGCTGTCACCACCCGTGCCCGACACTGGATTTAGTTCCAGCTCTGCCCTATCTCCTGTCGTGCCGTCTGTAGCACTCCGTAGCCCGCTGTCACCACCCGTGCCCGACACTGGATTTAGTTCCAGCTCGGCACTATCTCCTGTCGTGCCGTCTGTAGCACTCCGTAGCCCGCTGTCACCACCCGTGCCCGACACTGGATTTAGTTCCAGCTCGGCACTATCTCCTGTCGTGCCGTCTGTAGCACTCCGTAGCCCGCTGTCACCACCCATGCCCGACACTGGATTTAGTTCCAGCTCTGCCCTATCTCCCGTCGTGCCGTCTGTAGCACTCCGTAGCCCGCTGTCACCACTCGTGCCCGACACTGGATTTAGTTCCAGCTCGGCACTATCTCCTGTCGTGCCGTCTGTAGCACTCCGCGGCCCGCTGTCACCACCCATGCCCGACACTGGATTTAGTTCCAGCTCGGCACTATCTCCTGTCGTGCCGTCTGTAGCACTCCGCGGCCCGCTGTCACCACCCGTGCCCGACACTGGATTTAGTTCCAGCTCTGCCCTATCTCCCGTCGTGCCGTCTGTAGCACTCCGTAGCCCGCTGTCACCACCCGTGCCCGACGCTGGATTTAGTTCAGCTTGCGGGCCATTGCTGACCCCACGAAGTCGTCGTCCGAGACCACTTCGGAATTCAGCAGCCACAATCCGCTGGCGCTGAATCCTCTGATGGCCTTCTCTTGGGCAGCCACATGGTTGAAGGTGGTGCCAAAAATGGCGACCGTCTCATACAGAACCACTCGCTAGCCGGGGTAATAGATGAGCCGGTTTCCGATCCCAACGTTGTAGGTTGCCTTCAAAGACTTGAAGAAGCTGACATCGAGCTGCTGCAGCTTGTGCGCGGTGTGCGGTGGGGACGTTGGAAGCTGGATGCCATGGTCTTTCGCAAAGCAGACTGCCTCCAGGGCTCTGTGGTTGTGGAAGCCATCGAGGACAACCAGCTGTGGAATTGAGACGGTGCTGTGAGTCCACTTTCGGGACTGATGCAGACGGTCGAAGAACAATTGCGTTTCCATCCAACCGCTGTCACTTACTGCCCTGATAGAGTCTGCTGGTGTGCTCTTTATCAGGGCACTGTCCAGATTCTTCCTCGGCCACACTATCATGGGAGACACGTACTGACATGCAGCACTCTTGGCACATGCGGCTGTGACGAGTTGACCTTTTTTTGGCGCTGGTCACTTTCCCACGGTCCTTTTTCCTTAGGTCAAATATCTTTTTGCATTCTTACACTGGTGTGATACCCGTCTCATCTACAGTCGAGATCTGTTGAGCTGTGCACTCTTGAGCGACCAGCGCTTCCTTGTGCAGCCTGAAATATTCAGCAACAGTCTCTTTGTTGAAGGCAGCGGCTCTGCTTGCCTGTTTGATTCGGGGTTTGCCACATATAAATCCGGATGCCAGGACAGAACACCAGCCAAACAATCGTTACCTGCTTGACCGTTCTTAAAAAGGTGACAGATGTGTAGCTTCCCCGCTAGATCAAAGGCCAGACGACGAACGTCGAGCAGTATGATGTCGTACAAATGACGCTCCATATCGCGAATATGAGCCCCCAGGTCAAGCTCGGCCTACGGGAGAAAGCCGTCTCGTATCGGCCAAGTTTGACACGGCCCAGTATCCGTAATTTTCCATCGCGATGACGCCGAAGAGTTCGTTTTGGAATTCCATATTTTTCGACGATGATGCAACCAACGCCTCTCCGCGCGCGGCTGCATCTCTCAGATTGGAAGTTGCAAAGCTGAATGTCCTGATGTCTTGCGCTATACTGCCGCACCATTTGGAACAACGTTTCTCGATTAAAAAGCACCGTCAACAAAAAGGCTCCTACTAGCAGTGACGCACATGAGTTAAGGATGTAGCCTGGTAAGTTCCCCAGCATACAGAGCAATGCCTTTGAAAGGAAGCAGCGGAGCGAGATCCCACAGCCAGCGCCGCTCTCAAATGCCAGAATGAGACCTTTAAGAGCGATACAGATGCGAACTTTTTGGGGTCGCAAAAACATGAAACAGCTTGTGGAGGGTGTCAAGCTTTTAACAAGGTATTGCAGAGTTTTCCAAATGTGTCTCAAATTTTCGCTGAGCGCGAAGAAAATGGCTGAAATTCGAAAAGAAATCACAATCAAAGAATAAGTTAGGCCCTCGATAGGCCAACTTGCCCCAAATTCTGAAAACTCTAGTGGCGCCTGTGAGCCAGGGGTCAGGCCAGATCCAGCTGTTAAGACCAGCCAAAATTTAAGAATGCAAAATAAAAAGGACAAAAAGGGCAGAAGTTCGGTTTCGAAGTGAATTGCCGGGTCAATAATATATGGGCTGATACAGCTCTCTGTTCTTCACATGCACTCCCTTGACTCCCAAGTCAAGTGGATTGCCGGGTCAATAATATATGGGCTGATACAGCTCTCTGTTCTTCACGTGTACTCCCTTGACTCCCAAGTACGATCTCATCCTTCCTAATCTAAATCGTACGCAGGCCACCATCATTGTAAGTCAATTCTTAACAGTAGCATGTGACGGTAGCTATAACATCGTGATTGCGATGTAAGTCTTGATACATGTACTATAATGCTCGGAAATATAACCAAACTAGCATTTGCCTGTTGCAGCCCATGCTTGCCTTGGTGCGGAGCTTCTTTGTGTAGTTATGAAGTGATGCTCGCTTGTCTGGCGGGCCTGCTGGTTCCACAAGGCAAAGCACTCCCCGGGGGCGCACTGCCCTTTACTAGCGAGGTGCATTACCGCACCTGTCATGATGCAAATTGATCATTTGAAAAACATGCGCCAGGTTTTTCAATTTTCTTTCCAAGCTAAGGCCAGCAAGCCCTCTGTCTTGTTTGCTAGGTAACATATTTGGACAATAAAGTTAAGAATGTTAAGTGCAAGAAGGTTCATCAGCTTAACTGGAAAAACTCTATTTAGCGCCTAAAAACTTACCTTCACCGCCCCTCATCCGCCATTCACAGCAGGCGTTCACAAAAATGACACAGCAGTTTCCGCAAAAGTTCAAATAATCCGGCAGGCTCAGTTTACATCAATAACTATAAATAGTCTAGATATGGGGTAGGGGCGCATTACCACGACGGGGCTCATTGCCCGCTCGTTGCCCTGGGTATGATAGCCCCCGGAACAACAGGACTGGCGGGCCTTTCTTAAACAGTGAGAGAATATTTCCTTTGAGCAGCTCCGTACCGTCGTCATACCGTCTAGAAATTGCTAGCTTTACAGGCACTTTGCATTTTCATGCAATGATTAGCAACAAAAAGGGCTTAAGTTTTTGGACGTTGTGCCGTACAAATTTTACGTCAACTCCACGCAAACCACTGCAAAATGGTCAGGTGAACAAAATAAGGCATTTCCCACTGCATTTCTATGAGAGACACACAGCTTGCTAATATCGCGAAGAGGCGCACAACACTGGTGGGGACGGGTACCGATCTCGATGGCCCGGCCTCGCAGCCACAAGAGACCTCACGTTTTGACGGACAGAGGCACGACACCCGTGTTGGCGGACGCATGGGTCGATGCGAGCGGTCGGCCGATCGTGAAACCATCGATCGGTACGGTTTTCAGCGTGTTTTGGGAGATCGATGTCAGATCTCTGCGACCAGGGCGGGTAACACGTGAAACAAAGTGCGCGGTGTGGCCACGATGGGATTTGAGCACTGTGCGACCCAGAGCTGCGCCAGCACTCGCCCTGGAAGCGCCAATGGTACACTTTTGGAAACTGGTCACCATTGTAACACCTTGCGACGGCCCAGCTACCACCCAGACCAAGGACAGCTGGTGTATGCAAATGGTGGCCCTGTGTGAAGTCACGTCACCGTTAGCAATATGCATCCTGAAATATGTAGCTGTGACTTTACAAACGGCACCAATTTGGTCAGTCACAAAAAGGAAATATTTAGAGCGACAACAACACTGCCCCACGGTCAGCGCCAGGACTCGTGCCATCACCATGTTAGAGCCCTTGCCTGCCCCAGAGTCGACCCCAGTCCCGGCGCCACCCCAGGTCCGTCCCGGCCCCAGTCCCGGGGTCAGCCCCAGGTCCCTCACCTGCGACGCCAGCTGGGGCGAGCTCGGGCGATTCGGCCTCATCGCTGTGGCGGCCCGTCGGCCGGGCCAGCCGCGGCTGCTGCCGAGGGAACGACGACTCGCCGTGTGGCTCCATGCTGGGCGTGGGCATGCCGCCGCGGGCGCCGCTCCGCTAACCTTAGGGGCGCCGCTCGACCGCGCGCGCCACGCGCCTCCACCGCCGGCGGCCAGCCGACTGGCGGCCTCACCGGCGGCCGCCTCCGCTCCAGCCCCCATAGATAAGGCGCCCGGCAAAAAACAACGCCCGGCGCTCACAAAAAAGACGTAGCGTAAAAACCACGCGCCGGCGGCCGGCCGGCGGGCGGGCGGGCGGCGTCCCATTGTCGGCCACGGCCGGCCTGGCCCTGCCGATCACCGACGCAGGGACAAAGCGGTCCGTCACAACGCTGACAAGGTCTCTGGGCCACGGGCCGGACACCAGCCACCGCCGAGTCGCCTGTCAGAAGCGGAGGGGTGGGCCGGAGGTGGGCAGATGCTGTAGGCTTTTGACAGGCGCATGATTGGCCTTATGTTCTTTATCGCCAACGTACTGCACAGTATGCAACAAGTCATATCAAGTCATGATTGAGGCACCCTGTTCCCATTAAGCGAAAACGGAAAGGGAAAAACGGGAAGGAAAATGTGACAAGAACTGCATTCTAAAAAAGCTAGTATTTTTGGTGTGGAATAGAAAGAAGCTATATGAAAAGATTTTCGCCCTTCCCCGCGTCTTACGAGATCCGTCGTCACTGCTGAGAAGCCTAAATGCATTATTCTAGGAGAAACGACAATAAATTTCTCGAAGCTCCTGGTCAAGATCTTATTGTCTTGCTTTATTATTCCTTGTCCTAAGGTGCTGGGATTGGTTTCCAATATAATCGTAGGTATGTTGGCATTTACCGTTGCATCCATATCCCTACTTGGGCACAGGGACATCGTGTTGAGAATCAGATTGTGACACTTATTAAGTAGGGCGGCATTTGCAGGGTGGTATCCAATTTTACGCAGCGCAGGGACATCTGAAAGCATCGCACTTTGTGTTATCCTTCTTCCTAAAATACAAGTAAATTGAGACAAATTCATAGATGACAAAATGCGATTGAAAATGAGCAATAACTTGTATTTTCCAAGACAACAGAAACACGTGACCACGTTTCTGTATTGAAATGACTGAATAGCATGCCTTTCCATACGCGTCTCAGAGTTAAAGTTTGCGGTTTCGGAAAATGCCGTGAGTTAATGCTTAAGTGCCTATGACTAACCACAAAGGTGCCTGGTTTGTTCGCATGCTTTCCATTGGCGGCGGGCCGATGTGTTTGAAGACGCGCGCTCCACCGTGACAGATTAAAATCACTCCGATTTACATGGAACAATTAGTCAGCCGCGCCGGCGGCCGCACGAGCTGCCGTGGAGGCTAAGCTATGCGCGTGCAGAGCCCCAACGGTGATGGCATTGACAGTCGGCAGCGCAAACGCACCGGGCCGATACGTGGCGACAATGAACCAGTCCTCTCGCGACCCACGCTACGCCAGTTGCTTGCCAAAGAAATCGCTTTTTTGCCCCGCATTTCGAACTGAAATTAAAAAATCGCACCCTCTCACCGGGCGGTTGTACAGCTGCAGGCGGAAAAACTGATCCCATCTAAGTTTATCTGAGCGCATTTTTCCATCCGGCATGTTTTTTTGGTCTGCGTTATTGGTTTTTTGTGCGTGCGACGCTGGCTCGTTTGCATATTCAAACTTCGATGGACAATGACTGGATTTGAATGGATGAAGCGTCTCCGTAGTGAGCTGTTTTTTATGTCCCGCCGCATGCAGGCCCCAGCTGTGTGAGCGCCCTGCAGCCCCGTAATCGAGACCTGTAGACGAGAGACAATGGGATAGGACAGTCCAACGGAACCAATGTGTGCAGTGGCTTCTGACAAACAGTGGCAACCATCGGGAAAGGGCTTCCGAACCTTGCACTCGCACCGTACTGCTTTAATCACGTTTAGTCCTCATGTTGCTTAGAGTTCTGTGTTGATTCTGATGACGCAAAATCGTTCAGTACCCCATATAAATATCACGAAGCAAAATGTACTGGACGATAAATAAATAGCCTCTAGACACGGAAGGCTGAGATCCCTACCAGTGCACTTTCCATATTTGGTGCCAGACGTTTTGATACAACAGGCTGGTGGTGGCATGCTAGTAGTGACACGGGACAATCACCGATATATAACAGTATGGGAATTCGGGATACCAGTCCGATTGCCCTTATCAATCCCTGGATGCCAGGATTGTCTAGCGTTCAATGCTAAGAACTCTAGACACCTCGTGGTTAGAATAGATCTATGTGTATGCGCCATGCGCTCTAGTTCCGTACCAAAACTATTTTTAAGACTCCTGGAGGGCTTCTAAAGCATCAAAACGACCCTGGGGCGTCACAAAGGGTCTCCAGCCTAAAAAGGCCCAGTGAACAAAAACGGGGCTCCAGTAGCGACGGCCCACTTTACTGAAAGGGCCCCGTATGACCCGAGTGGATGAAATCCTCGGCAACACCTGGCTATGCCAGTGTTCCATCAATCATCATGACGCAAGCGCCTGCCATATATGTTGAGGCTTGGACTGTCCAAGCTGTATGACTTTATGATACCAAGTTGGACACACATAACATCCGTGCAGCACCCGCAATCAAGTTTACGGAGCACTCGCTCGCCAAGTCCGGTTTCCATTGTCTGAAGGCAACATCTCTGCCCCTGCTACCAGTGTAACATAGAATAGGTCTTTTCTATTCACCATGGGTTTGAAAATCACAAGCAATACCTGCTCGATTCTCTTCACGGAGAAGTGACGTCATTGGTGCCTGTAGCGCTGCCATCACCGACGTAACATCAGCTCGTACGCCAGCGATGCGACGTGAATTTCAGCTAACATGGCCGAGCTGTTTAGCACCTATGGGTCATTTGGACCCAACATCCGAGTAACCACGTTCGCGCATTGTAATTTATTCGCATTAGAAATAGATCTGCTGTAAACAAAATTCGTATTATAAGTAAAAAAGCCCGCTCATATCTGTTGCACCAAGACCATGGTATAACTTTCCAGCTCTTTCACGTACTCTTTCTGGAGCTTCTAGTGAATATTCCTCGTTTCTTCTGTTTTAGAATACCATTGGCCTGATCGGCTTGGTGGTGCCATACGTCATGCTCAGACGTGACGCTGCTCACCGCCACAGGTCTCGCGTGGCGCGTGCCAATGCCATCCATTGGCTTAACACGAGTTACGCGAACTTCGCAGGTCGCCAAAAGTCGCCGAATGGCGTGCGAAAACCGGGCTATTATCTTGGCAACGAGATGTCACAGTGAACCGAAGTCGGCATATTTTGACTCGGCATACAACGGGTAGCAGCACCGACGACAGCGGGTCAGTGCGTGCGCCGGCGCGAGTACGTTCCTGCAGGCCACGGATCGGGCGGTTTGGGAGAGCTTTTCGAAGTTCACGCCAGCTCCCGGCAAACTGGGCAGGTACAATCGACTGCATAATGTAGGGTAGTGTGCTTTCTGCAAACCATCAATACAGCCCAACACTGTCTGACCCATAGTGACGTCAGCAATTGACCGGGAGACCACTATCGCGTTTTTCGAAGCCGATCTCGAATGCGACGCGCTGTCACATGCATCGAATGACTTGAAGACGTAAAAATAACACGGACTTAAGGCGCGATCCGTGGTGACCGATATACACCCAAAATATTCGCGTGTTTTGCAGTCATTTGTTCACAGCGGCCTAAAACGCAACCCGCTGAAAATTTAGGAATTCGCCGGTGCATTAAGCCGCGCCTGCTTGCCGGCCTGCCGTCGACGATGAGGTAGCTGTAGGCACACGCAGTCGCGTGTTTTTGCTGAAGGTCCCCAGCTCGGCGGATATCATTATACGTGCGTGTGACAGGGCACTCGACAGCGTGGGCCGCAGCAACTCATCAAATCGCACAGTCACACATAGCCTCCTGTGTATAGATGGCCAGGTGCTGTCGAGCGCAATGCATGCTTTGGCCAGTTGTCTCGCGTATCGTGTGATGTGGCGGTGACTTGAAGCCAGGACCGCCGAGCCTGGCACGCGGTAGCCTTCGATGCTGATTTAAATGCAGCCCCCGCCACGTAAATGCTAACTGGTAGCTTAGCGTGTCCAGGGTTGTTTAGCGTCCGTAAGACTAGTCGAATGTCCATCACCCATTTTCACGCTTCTGAACATAAATGTTTTTTGGAGGACAACAAAGCCGCAACGAGCATGACGGCGCTCAGAAACAGTGCTGTCGCGTCCCCTGCCCACCTCGTTTCCTCAGTATGGCACATCTGTGCACTTCTTGAGCGCTCGTACAGCCCGTGCTAACTTGCCCATCAGCAACGATTACAAAAGGTCATTTTCAAGAAGTGCTGAGTGTTGAGTAGATTTTGAATAGCCGTCTTTTGATAAACATCGACTGACGTCGTGCAAAAGCTCCCTTGCCCTCTCCCTCTTAGCACTATTTTTGTTTTGCAAAACCACGCTCCCACACAAATGTACACATGATAATATTCAGCATGGACTCTATATAATTGATTGGGAGTATGGACTTATACACGGTCTTTAAGTTTTATTTAGATAATCAAATCAAACATTAGACAAACCTTAAACACCACTGAAATCGGCCATCTCCTGCGAATGAGGAATGAGGATGATCAACTTATGGCTGCTGAGACTTTGGCATGTCCATGATGGCTTGGTTTCTGTGCATCTTTTTTCATCGTGGTTTCAATGTGTATCGGTTTCTCCTGCATGCACGAAAAATGTCTGCCTACCACATCCAGAGTGGTGCCCCATTCTCTCACGCGCTGGCCGACACCGATATCGCATGGGAATTATTCTGTGTCGTGTACCGTCAAAAATGGTGAACCCGTCGCATCTGCTAATTTTGCCTTCACCCATGCAGCCGTCTGTGCTGCGCATCTGGCTAAAGAAGCAAACACAGCCTGATGTGCGCTCGGAGATCAGTGAATTAGACATAAGCCCTTATTTAGACCGTAGTAAGGATAGCATTGCTATGAGATAAAACAAACTCAGCTCGGAAATAGCTCAGATCATACAGCTAAGAAAAAGCTCAGACCCTACAGATCGGGAATAACTTGAATCCTACAGCTCAGAAATAGTTCAAATAATAGAGCCCGAAAATAGCTCGGATCTTACAGCCCGGAAATCACACTGCTCGGAAGTAGCTCGAATCCCACAGCTTGTAAATATCTCTAATCCCACAGCTTGGAAATAGCTCGGATCCTGTGGCCTGCAGATCGCTCGGATCCTACAGCTTGGACATAGCTCTGATCCTACAGCTCGGAAATGGCTCGGATCCTGCAGTACGGAAGTAGCCCGGATCCTGCAGCTCAGAAATATCTCGGATCCTACAGTTCGGAAGTAGCTCGGGTCCCACAGCTCAGAAATAGCTCAGGTCCTGTAGCTGTCGGAACAGTCGGAACCATGCCCTTTCAGACAACGTTTACTTCACTACGTTTGACACGCATGGTATCAGGCTCGTTTCAAACATCACTCCTCAGCTGTGTGTAACCAAATAGCTTAAGATACCCCCGGCTCAGGTGGTTCGGCACCTGGGATGGCAAGGAGTCCAGTTTGTTCCTCTTCCTAATCTTTCAAACTAGGCGCTCCGGTAGGTCAGCCTAATGGGAAGTCAGCCCGGCCATCGGCAGATTTTCCGTGCCGTCGCTGTCACACGATGCTTGTAGTATTTACGTTCGGCTTTTAAAATTAGTTGACCAAAAACTTTCTACTAAAAAGGCAGAAAAAACAGCGAACAAAGGCCTCTTGCTTTGGATACCTGGAAGTCGGGATTCAATTGCAGCATCGCAATCCATTCCAATCCCAGGATCGCACCATTGGCGTCCCTCGTTGGATCCGTCTAGGACTCGTAAGCTGCAGGCTCACATACTGCAAGAACATGAAACCAGCATTGATTAACCGGTGGCGGCGCTGACAATGCGGTGGGATCCCGAGCAGATGGCGATCCGTGGTCATGGCTCAAAGTGCATTGGGATCCGGGCGAATATCATACCACGCATGCTTTATCTCGACGATTTTAAGGCACGCTAGCTTTATCTTACGAACCACTAGCATACGTGCTTTATACGTAATTTTGCCCGCAACCCGGCAGCGCCACCGCCGTTGATCGACTCCAAGCGACTTTCCTCGAACAGCCTTCCCGCTTACTGACCGCCGTACTTCAGGTGTTGATTACATACCGGACGCTTTGCGACAAATGAACCAGATCACTGCGCCACCGTCCATCGACTGCTCTGGTTTGCATGTCTTACACGCTTGCTCTTGAATGCCCATAAACCTAAGATCTCCGTTTCTCTTTTTCCACGACAATGCAAATGCCGATCACTGGACGTGGCAGCCTCAGATCCTATGCTTGTCCCAGGCGGCAAACAACCGCGCAGAGAGCGCACACTCGTCCGCACGCACAGCTCTCGCGCCTAAATCGCTATTTCGCAAATACATCCCATCGCAGTCCCACGTTCGACTTAGGCTGTTTGTGGTTTTGTTTACGGCCGAATTCAAGCGCATTGTTTCCTTTGCATAGTGTGTGTGTGCTGTGACGGCAGCCAGACCTTCTACCCTGCTCCCTTGCTCCTGGACTGACCGCGTTATGTTCAATACATAATTCTAGCCACGAGATACGGGACAGGTTACAGGAGCTTACGGACATCGGTATACCAACTGGTATATCATCTCAGAGGGAGCATGCACCAGCTATATATCAACATGCAAAGGCGTTGAAAATTATTCAGTGCATTTGGTACTGTGGCTGGGGAAAATGGGGCCACGTGGAAGACTTCCAAATTAGGGGAAGATGTCACTCCCGTGGTGTCTCTCTACTTGTCAACGTTTGGATAGCAAAATCTGTCACGCTCTCTCCTCTGACTTTTTTGAATTTACTCGCTCTGATTTGGCAGCACGCGAACGTACCAACACGTACATCAGCTGTGGTGAAGCATGCCGTTATCACCACAGCGCGAGCCTGGTTGCGCACCGCAGCTTCACTTCAGTTCGCTTACGGCCGTTACGAGCGCTGTCCTCAGCTGCTCAGCGGACAAAGCGGCGCCTGCTGACACAATAACCAACGTGGTCTACACCCGTTACCCTGAAAGCGCAGTTTGTTCATCAAGAGGTATCGGAGGAACTGAAGCACTGTCACCGACAACATCAACACATCGGGTGGACGAAGTCGCACTGATCCACTTGGGCTGAGGTTGGGGTCCCAGTGCATGTCATGCCATTATCACCAGCACAGCATACACCGCACGTTCCTCTGATTTACGGACCCTCCGAGCCAAATGTGCGCGAGCGTGGTGAAATTGTCGCATTAACAGCGTGAGCGACAACAGACGACGCCCACGGGCCACCGAGAGCCCTGTACCACATCCCCTGCGGCGTCCGTTGGGCGTGCGTGCAGGGTGGCGAGGGTTCCCCTTCCCCTGCTGATTCGGAACATCCGAGCGGACCGAGTTAATCGCTGTCCCCCCAGGCGCTGAGGCCGGGAGCGTGATAAAAACGCCGAGCCGGACTGCAGCGAGGTCACGCAATGTCACGAATAGGCCGGCCAAAAGCGGACGGGCCGGTGCGGCATTCCGCTTTTTGCCAAATAAATTATCTGCTGCAGACGCGTAAAAACTCCCCCACAGTCGTCGGCAGCGGTGGGGGCAGCACCTGACAAAAACCCGTCTGTCTGGGAGCCGCCGCGCGCTGCCGGCCGCCAGTCGGGGTAAGATCACGGCCATCCGCCGACAATCGCCGGCAGCGGCGGGGCCGGCCGCCGCATCACACACTCATGCACACCGGCACTGGTCAGCCGCAATTGCAGACTCCATTCAGCGTCCAGTGTGACCGCGTTGCCCGTGTGGTAGATCACACGTGCCTGCATGCGTAGTGTACACATCAGCACGGGTCTGTGAAGTCTCAAGGTATCATCCAGTGGTTCTGGCTCGCGACGTTGCAACGGAGAGGACCTGCGTGCGTGTGCACCTGCTTGTGAGCCTTCGGTAACTGGAAGGCAGACTCGTGGGAGTGCATCGCCAGCAGAGCAGAAGGTCGGCGGAGCTCGCCGGCTACGCTGAGGACTGATCAGGGTGGACCGCCAGCGTGCGGCTTAAGATATCGCTGTTGAGTGAGGCAAGCGCATTTGCTACTACAGGCATGTCATGTGTGCTGCCACTAGTTAAGCAGCCGTTGGAAGCACTTTGTTAGCTTAAGCGTGACACATTTTTTCTAGTGTCATTTAACTATACAACCATGTAGCTAGGGATTGCGTGTAATCTAGGAATTGAAAATATTGATTTCTGAGTGATAGCATTTAGCGAGGAGCGTGTATTTTAGAACGACTGACAAGTGCATTCTGTATTTGACATACAGAAATACCTAACTATCGCTATGATGATCGATTTAAATGAAACAACTACCGAGGGAAAAACTTGAACAGTTGACCAGAGGGACAAGGGGAGCTAATTAAACGACGATGTTGACAGGTCATGACGGGTCACATGATATCTCTGTCCGGCAGTGCCCCTGAGGTGCTGCAGCCTCTCGGTGAAGGGGAGCACCAGCTCAGCGGCGTGTCCGTCAGATGCTCGGCAGCGGACAACGCGTCCGTCAGAAGCTCGGCAGCGGACAACGTGTCCGTCAGAAGCTCGGCAGCGGACAACGTGTCCGTCAGAAGCTCGGCAGCGGACAACGTGTCCGTCAGAAGCTCGGCAGCGGACAACGTGTCCGTCAGAAGCTCGGCAGCGAATAACGCGGCCAGAGCTGAGATTGGTGGCAGACATACGGCGGCCGGTGTGAGCGGCCCACGCCGGGACATCTATACTGTAGCCCCCCCCCCCCCCCTCCCGGACACAGACACAGACACACTCACACACGCACACACATATATATATATATATATATATATATATATATATATATATATATAAAGACATAGATGTGTGTCTTCCTCTCTCCCTCCTCCCTTCGCTCTCTCTCTCTCTCTCTCTCTCTCTCTCTCTCTCTCTCTCTCTCTCTCTCTCTCTCTCTCTCTCTCTCTCTCTCTCTCTCTCTCTCTCCCCTAGTCTTCTCTTGCTTGGCTGCTTTGCTAACCTATTCCATGGTCGGGCCTATCGTGCAGACAGTGAGCATCGAAAAAATAGCACGAATTTCTTAATGATGTGTCCCACACGTTTCTAAAGCCTCAGTAATCGTGCCCGAGCAACTATTTGCGATACCGATGATGAAAATACCGAGAGTAATGTCTGTTAGTGCATCAGAGAGCGGGTACGTGATTTAGTTGAAGCCTGTGTCTGAAGCAGGGTTGAGAATTAATCAACACCGACCATCCATTCAATTTTTTCACCACTCGGTTCCATTTGTTGCTGGGCGAACCCCATGCATGATTGCACGATGCCATTACTGTGACGTGGTTTACCAGCTTAATCAATTGCCACGAAGGCATTTTGAAAGCAATATTTTGCTTACTTTCTATGCGGGCCACGCAAGCAGCGCACACAACGCACGAAAACGGCAACCTCCCATAGAAATTACCATCACTACTCCTATCCAGACTTCCATCATAAAGACCCGACTGACGACATATTTGAGCGTGACATCGAAAACGTCCGTACTATTCAGAGCTGCCCCAGATGTATGTGACGACATGCAGCTTTCGAAGGCGTCATCACTGTAAGCCACACAACGTGACAGACTGATGGCCCGTTGGCTTTCTCATAGCAAAGACCAGCGACGTTTCGGCGCGCGTGCCTGGCGCGGAACAACTGCCCCCCACCGGCGCAATGTTACGCAGCTCTGTTGTACATCACATTTTATTGTACAGCATAGTGTAACGGCGTGAGACAAAACCGAATCCTAATAAGTGGATCTCCAGCGAATTGCCGTGAGGTTCAGCGCGTGATGAAAGCGCAGGCTGGGGCTTCACAATCCACTGGGCAAGGGGGAGGGGGAGGGGCATCAGTCAGCGCGTGCGCTCTCACAGGAAGCCATCCTCTTCGTCCTCCTCAGCCATCTCGTTGACCAGCTCGAGATCCTGCTGCTCACGCTCGCGGCGCTCCTGCAGAAACGAGGGACGGACTGTCAGTTCACAGGGCCGGCAGACCGGCGAGAGATGAGTGAACACGCCCGTCAGACCACTACAGACTGGCGGGAGACGAGTAAACAAGCCTGTCAGACCACCACAGACTGGCGAGAGACGAGTGAACACACTCGTCAGACCACCACAGACTGGCGAGAGACGAGTGAACACGCCCGTCAGTCACGTATGTCTCTCCGCTGACGCTTCATGTGGGTGAGCGCCACGAAATACCAGCGTCCTGCGGCGCGCTGCGAGGATGACGTCACACGGAGAGGGGACGAGGGCAGGCCGGGTCTGAACTCGCATCGTAACGACACATCCCCAACGTACAACGACGCTCTCCCGCCTCCGTGCGAGCCATCCAGCCCCAGCCGCCAGCCGCTGGGGCGCTGGCAATTGCAAGCCGCCGCAGGCCGTTTTTGCCCAGCAGCTGAGACCTGGAAGGCCGCGCTGCCCGCGGCGGCACGCGCAGCGAGGTTTTACCTACACTCAGGTGATTACATTCTGGCACCGCAGCGCAAAAAGACAAAAAGCGCGGCCAAATCATCGATGAGACGAGGCCTGGGCCGCGTCTTATAGTTTCAAAAACGCCGATCGATGGGAAACGTCCGACGGACCACCATATTGTAGGATAATATTCAGCCGATTCTCAATATTGCAGAGCCGACCCAATCAATAGCATCACAAAGTAGGCCATCGAATCGGGTATAATGCGGTAAGAACGGGGCCAACACACGCTAACCTGCTTGCGAGACGCGCTCTGCACCCACCGTGACACGCCGACCGCCCACCATCGGGGACCGATGTGGACACCGGGGACCGCCCATTCGACCGGCACGTCCGGGGATGAGGCCTGACGGTGCGGCGTACACCCGGCGGCCTGATCGCAGGTGTCTGCGGATCGGCTGCAGACGGAGCCCAGCGAGCACGCCCCACCCACCCCCTGGCCCGGCCGACACTAGCACTGCTCAGCACAGGATGGCAGCGATATAAGCAGCCCCACGATGAACTCGGGAGGCGCCACCCACAAGCCGAGCTTCACGATAGCAGGCGCCCATCCACAAGCCGAGTTTCAGGATAGCAGGCGCCCACCCACAAGCCGAGCTTCAGGATAGCAGGCGCCCACCCACAAGCCGAGTTTCAGGATAGCAGGCGCCCACCCACAAGCTGAGCTTCAGGATAGCAGACGCCCACCCACAAGCCGAGCTTCATGATAGCAGGCGCCCACCCACAAGCCGAGCTTCAGGATAGCAGGCGCCCACCCACAAGCCGAGCTTCAGGGTAGCAGGCGCCCACCCGCAAGCCGAGCTTCAGGGTAGCAGGCGCCCACCCGCAAACCGAGCTTCAGGATAACAGGCGCCCACCCACAAGCCGAGCTTCGTGATAGCAGGTGTTCAACAATAAGCCGACCTTCAGGATAGCAGACGCCCACCAATAAGCCGAGCTTCAGGACAGCAGGCGCCTACCCACAGGCCGCGCTTCGGGATAGCAGGCACCCACCAATAAGCTGAGCTTCAGGATAGCAGGTGCCCACCCATAACCGAGCTTTAGGGTATTCGCTGGATACCCCAAAAGTTATCGCAGTTTTTTTAGGGAAGGGGCAAGTTCTTGGTGACTTGGATCCATATTTGTTGGGGCCAGGACAAAAATAAGACGGGTAGCACAAGGCTGCTCCAACGATATGCAACACTTAAACCGCATACGAGCCTCCCATCCTATGACCAAAGATCAACGGCGTGCCAGTTCTTTCCAGCAGAAGAAAATAAAGCCAACAAATGCATCTACATTCAAAATGAATCGCACGCATAGCCGCATTCCAAAAGCCATCTTAACAAGCATGTGGTTCATTTTCCACTACAATTTGCTTACTACTGCGCACTCCATAAGCGAGCGACGCCCAGGGCTGTGCAGTTACACCCCACCACCAGCCCAGCCTCCCAGCGGACCCCATCCCTCTCACCTCCGCCGACTCGAGATCCTTGCTGTAGCTCTTGGGCGGGAAGCGCATGTCCTTGACACTCTGGTTGTGCATGTTGAGGCAGAACTTGATGCGCTGGTGGAAGGCCAGCTGCGGCTCGCGCGTGCAGTAGATGTCCACCATCTCCTTGCTGCGTACGAAGCCAGCGTCGTGGTCGATGGTGGCCTCGATGACGCCGTCGCGGATCGACTGCGGCACACGGCGCGTCGCGGCGTCAGCCACGGCTCGCACCGGCCAACGGACCGGATGGTCAGCCGTCGTGGCAGGGACGGCTGGTATGTCGGTCTGTGTGACCGTCTGTACTGTACCTGCGTGTGCCTGGCATGTGTTTCGCAGTCTGTCTCACTACACCTTCGCCCCTACCTTTGTCTCTGCCTCCCTCCTTCCTTCGATCACTCCTTACTACCACTCCCTCTGACACACACACACACACACGACGCCAGTACGCCTGCAAGCCGGCTGCAGTCCCGCCTCCCATATCTCCCAGGGCCCACGCTACACCGCCATCCGGCGGCCCTCACGCCGGATGGACCGGCCCGGCCCGGTCCAGTCACGAGCAGCGCCGCTCGCACCCCACGCACCTTGGCCACGATGAACTCAGCGTCCTCGGCCGAGTCGAGCAGCAGCTTGCTGGCCACGTCCTGCAGGCTGATGCGGGAGTAGCTGACGCTCAGCGAGCGGATGGCCGTCTTGATCACGTTGGTGCGCAGCCGGTAGATCAAGGTCAGCGTGTGGTCCCGCTGAAACTGGGCGCCGTGCTGCTGCAGCGCCGCGTTGAACAGCTGCAGGTTGCCGTTGCGCACCGCTGCAGCACGGGGGGCGCGGGTGTCAGGGGGGCGGGAGGGGCACAGACTGCACAGTACCGCTGCGAGAAACGGGACACGGACGGAGGCGTATCGCACAGACGCGTCGAAACTGACAGGCGGGGCACTGACAGGGGTCCACTGTACCGTACCACAGCTGTACGCGGCACTCCGTCGCCAAACGGACAGGGCGCACTGTACACTCAGTACCGAGCCGATCTATTCAGTGCCACTGCAGACGCTTTCACCCCGGACGATGACGACAGCCCTGGCAATCCTACCATCCCAACACTAACACCTCGTCTCGGTCATCCTGTCCAACAATTCAAGTGAAACACGCAGCGCGACACGCCCACTCGCCGGCCGTCCTGCCCTCCGTCGTTGCGCCGCGGGGGTCTGAGCGGGCACCACGTGACCGGCAGCCGCTGACTACCTACTCTGCGTCAGCTGGAAGTAGGGCGCCAGCGGACGGCGCAGCTCGGGCTTGCGGAACGTCTGCCGCAGCGGGATGTCGCCCATCAGCAGCTCCACGGTCACCGCCAGCTTCTGCACCTGCGGGGAGGCGGAGGCGCGCCGGTCAGCCGTCCGCCGGCGTCGGCGCACCCGTGGCGAGCCACACCGCCCCGGCTCCCGCCACCGCGCCGCGCCGCGGCAGCTGGTCACCGACAGCGCAGGTGGCCTACGGGAGCGGGTGTGCACGCCAGAACGCACCACATCGCCGCTATAGAAGCATGACGGTGATGTTGGTGGTTTAGGTCATGCGCAGAATATGGAGCATCGAGGCTACCATCAGAGCTTGACACACAAACTACAAACACAGTGAGACGGATCAGTCCTCACACGGACGTGCAGCAACTCTGCAAGCGTCACGCACATGTCCAGTACACTAGTCGAAGGCTGAGCTCCAACACTACGCTCTCAATGCGCTGTTTGCATGTGTCGGTGGTAAGGGCGTCAGTTTAATGATTCGGGGACTTGATGCGCGAATAACCCTTCACTGTTTCCGTGCGAAGTGCTGCGAGAATGCTGCTGGTTAGCAGTCGCCCTGACCACTCTGAAGATGAACTCACTCAGCGAATCTCACACACGGCGCACGCGGTGAGGATAGCACGCACTGGTATAATTATCACGGTGAAGCCCACAGCGCCTCCCCCAGACAGCCGTGACCGGTGTTCCGTCAAGTCCGCTCCTTCCCGGACAGACGTGGCCGGTATTCCGACAATTCTCCTCTCCCCCCACACAGACGCCCAGACAGACGCGGCCGATGTTCCGCCAGGTCTCCTCCCCAAGACAGACCAGGCCGGTGTTCAGTCAGGTCTTCCCTCCCCCCCCCCCCAGACAGATGCGGCCAGTGTTTCGTCAGGTCTCCCCCCCCCCCCCAGACAGACGCGGCGGTGTTTCGTCAGGTCTCCTCCCCAGACAGACGCGGCCGGTGTTTCGTCAGGTCCCCTCCCCCAGACAGATGCGGCCGGTGTTCCGCCAGGTCTCCCCTCCCCCAGACAGCCGTGGCCGGTGTTCCGTCAGGTCCGCTCCTTCCCGGACAGATGTGGCCGGTATTCCGACAAGTCTCCCCTCCCCCCTCCCCCCCCCCCCCCAGACAGACGCGGCCGGTGTTTCGTCAGGTCTCCTCCCCCAGACAGACGAAGCCGGTGTTCCGTCAGGTCTCCTCCCCCAGACAGACACGGCCGATGTTCCGCCAGGTCTCCTCCCCCAGACAGCCGTGGCAGGCGGGCCGTCCCAGTCCGCCCCCCCCCCCCCCCCTCAGGCACCCCTCTCGCCATACCGTCTGCTTGAAGCCGACGGCGGCCGTCTGAGGCGCCTTGCGCAGCGCCTGCAAGCAGGTGTTTGTGCGCCTCCGAGTAGTCCAGCTGCGCCGCCTGGATGCGGCCCAGGTAGTACAGGTAGCGCGCCCACTCATTGTTGCTGGCCGACTCGGGGAACACCGACTTGGAGACGAGCTTGTCCGCCTGTTCGTATAGGTTGTACTGCAGGTAGGCGCGCAGCAGGCAGTTGATGAGCACCGCCTGGCCCTCGTAGTCGTTGCGCAGCGTCGCCGTGCGCAGGCGCGCGTGCAGCACCCTGGTGGCAGCAGGGAGAGCAGCGCCGTCAGCACAGCCCCTCTGTGGGACAGTGTCGCACGCGCGCGTGCAGCCTTTTGGGGTGGGGGAGTGGTGGCGGCGGCTCCGCCCCGCTCCGTGTGGCAATATTACGGGCGCGCGTGCCGACAGATGGCGACGGCACAAGCCTCGGCACCGCGCTCTGCGTGTCTGTGCTAACACCACTCTGCTTACACGGAACGGAACTAGCTTTCATTACTCTGGTCACCATGATCTATAGGTGACTCACAAAAACACCGGCCAGTCCAAGAGGTATCTCGCTCATACACATGCGCGAATCGCCACACCAGATGTCGACACAAAATGACGCCACGCTGACGATGCGGCCGCGCGGCAGACTAACCCCTTGATTTTGTCCATCTGCCCGGTGGCCTCGTAGCTGCGCATGTAGTAGAAGTAGCAGCGGGCGGCGATGAGGTCCAGCGTGCGCCGGTTCAGCCCGCTCAGCTTCACCATCAGCTGCTCTGTGCCGGCGGAGGACGGACCCCGGTCACGCCGCGGCCGTCGGACTCCCGTTAACGGCACCAGCGCCCCCCGCCTCGGCAGTCGGCCTCGCGACGCCGGGTCGGACAGGTCACATCACACGCAGACGGATGGAGGCTCAGTCACGTCGGCCGACCGCTCGGTGCCGGCGGAGCAGCCACTGCCACCGGCAGCGCCGACCGGGCCATAAGCCTGGGCAGGCGACAACGCCCCGCGCACGGGCAAGTACCTGAGCACGTGACGGCCTCCTGGTTGCGGTTGGAGTCCAGCAGCCGCAGCAGCACCAGCAGGTGGAAGTAGGCGTCCTGCTCCGGCAGCAGCGGACTCTGCGACGCCTTGTTGCTGCGCATCCGGAAAGCGGCCGTCGGCTGCTCCGGGTCCGATGGCTGAGGGCGGATAGAGCCTGAGACGGAGACCTCCACCGCCGGCTCACCCCAACCGAGCGTATGTGTCAACACGTCCGCCACACACCAAGCCTACCCATACACTCGGTCACGTGACAACAGCGGCTCAAGAAACGTGAGCTATCGATCACCGCATGCAATGCTGGAATCGAAGCCTGCGGACAGAACTCTTACGTCCGACAGGAATGTCCTGGCCCTGCACACCCCGAACCAAATCCCTCAATCCCCGCCTCCTACCCGCCCGCGCCACACATCCCACTCCCTTCCGGCCGCCTCCGCGCACGTGAGGGCGAGCGTGGCCGCCAACAGACCTCCTCGACGAAGGCCAGCAGGGTGTCGCGCTCCTGCGCCGAGTGCGTGTACGAGGTGTGCAGCAGCCGCTTCAGCACGAGCGGGTTCAGTCGGCGCCGCGTGGCTGGCAGGGAGCGCAGCACGCGCAGCACAAAGCGCGGCTCCTTGCTGCTGACCGACTTCTCGATCTGCTTGGCCTGCTCGCGAATGTCTGGACACGGAGGGGGCACGGTCAGCGGCGCGAGAGGCAGTGCACAGCGCTATGCGGCCGAAAGGCACTGGATAACCGATGCCAGTGGTAAGTAAGATGGGATGAAAGAGTTCCGCGAAAATGACGTTTCAAAGACGAAATGAACTTTTAGGCAACAAGATGAGAAGACAGGAGATACATGCATGCACAGCTAACTACAACGCAAAGGCTTTAACTTCACTTAAGCATCGACCATGGGCCACAGTGTAGACTGCGGAAGTGCGTCTTAGAGTGCGACAATGCAGTAGCACCCCTACAAGATAAGTGCCATCAGTTGTTACAATGTGTCGCCCTCGACTACCATTTCTGAAACATATAATCATACAGGGTGCCTCCAAAACCCTTGAAAGTGCGCCAAACAGCCTATCGAGCTGTCCCAACCACTTAGTTAACGCGTTAGGCGAGGGTGGCTTTTAATGATCTTTCCCCGAACAGCAAATGGATCCCGGAACACCCAGGCGACTATAAAATAACTCTGATGTGAACCCGATATTTAAGCATTCAATATGTCACATACCTTCTAAGGTCAAAATATTGACATCTTTCTTTTCCACTTCTGTTCCTGTTGTCTCTTCTGGTGACTTAGCATCTTTCATTTCCACGTCTTCGACCGCCATTTTGATATCCTGCGGACAAAGTCACCTAGTTCACTGATCTGTAGTACAGGAGGATTGGCCAAACTCCGACGCTAAAATGGTTTCAAGACCAACGCAAGCATAAAGCACAGACACACAGAAACACACAACGTCGGCGTCACTGGACGGAGACCTCGGCGGGCACGCCCCCAGGCCGCCGAATCGGCGGCCTTGACACCAGCTAGGGACCTGTCAACCAGCAGCCTCCACACCAGCTGGAGACCTGTCAACTGGCAGCCTGGACACCAGCTGGAGGTCTGTCAACTGGTGGACAAGGCACCAGCTGGAGATCAATCAGCTGGCAGCCTCAACACCAGCTGGAGGTCTGTCAGACCAGTGGCCTCAACACCAGCTCAAGGTCTGTCAATCAGCAGCCTTGACACCAGCTGGAGTTTTATCAACCGGCAACCTTGACACCAGCTGGAGGTCTGTCAACCAGTGGCCATGACACCAGCTGGAGGTCTGTCAATTGGAAGCCTCATCTCCTGTTAGGGGCTGGTCAACCAGCAGCCTCAACACTAGCTGGAGGTCTGCCAACCAGAGGCCTCAACACCAGCTGGGGACCTGTCAACAGGCAGCCCCAACACCAGATGGAGGTCTGTCAACCAGCAGCCTCAACACAAGCTGGAGATCTGTCAACTAGTGGCTTCAACACCAGCTGGAGGTTTGTCAACCAGCAGCCTTGACACCAGCTGGAGACCTGTCAACCAGTGGAGATGACACCAGCTGGAGGTCTGTCAACAAGTGGCCTCAACATCAGTGGAGGTCTATCATTGTCTGTGACCAAGGTGAGCAGCAAACCTGCCGTCAGCTGCAACAGTGGCAGCCCTTTTTCAGCTGCCACCCTGGTAGACACCCCATTGGCCACAATACAAGTGGCCCATTGACTGACTGTGATCCATATTGCACTGCAATGGCTGCTACTCTATAGCGCAAGTCATCAGTTGCTACCCACAAGCACTTCAGCAGAATGTTGACTGCTTCTCCACACCGCAAGCCATCAGTCCTCATTGTAATGAACACCTCCACCACTGTTGCCATAAGATGCCACACTGGTCTAGCAGACAAGTCATTGGCTGACAAACTATGTTCCCCTCATTAACTGCTGTGACCAATCAAACTGTGATATGATGGCTGTGTCATTACATAACTCAATGTTTTTTTCAAATGGAAGCCAAATGCTTAGGACTCCAACCTATTTTGAGACATGGCCCTTGCCCTAGAGTTTCCCTGTAAAACACATGGAAAATATGCTTCTGCCAGATTCCCTGCAGTGTCATCTTGCAAAAAAATCCATCCACAGAGCTTAATGTATGTGTGAAACAGGCACACTGAACCTTACTTCACACTTAATTTACCAGTTGGGTTTGCCTGACAAATGCATTGGGGCTCTGATTGCTCTTGATATAGTATTCAGCACATCATAACACCTTGAAACATTGATTACTACAGCTTTCCAATGGTGGCTACCATTTACTTACCAAGGATCTAAGATTTATAACGTGCATGTACTGAAATCGTGTCCAGCAACGTACTGCTAAGCCAAACATGTTCAGCATAGCACGTATGTTAACCAGTCTGGATACAATAGATCAAAGACTGCATGTTAGGAATAAATGCAACCAAAAGCCTAGCTGGATTACCAACCCAGTGGTTAATGAGACTGCTATACCAAAACTTCTTCAAATGAAAATGCATAACCGCAAACGACCACTAAGGCAATAATCAAACTAACCACCCAACCGCACATCCATACTAAGACACACACCGCGGTCACAGATTATCACATTAAATGATAAAAATAAAGGACAAGAGGCAACATCCCATTCCATTCCAGAAGCAGCGGTTGTAAATTACCTATTCGACGTCTCCGCGCCCGGCACCTCCCAATTCCGGCCGGCCGCAGCGATGATAATGCAGAATCTCGCAGAATGACGCGGGCAAGGCTGTCTCTTTGGTGACGAGGTTAATCTGTGCGTAAATAAATTCAGCTATGAAAATTTGGCATACATGACATCACGAAAAATGTTGCTCAATAGAAAGACATAGAAAGGAAAACACCAATTAAAACAAAACACAGGGAAGCATCTTAACATGTTGAAAAATAACAGTGTAATAACAGCCTTTCAATTTCAGTGAAATCAGGTGTACAAGGGTAACACGGAACCGAATGAAAAGCACACACGGAAACGAAGTATTTTAAGCTGAATGCTCGTCTTCGAAATCAGAAAAAGATGCATCAATGTGATATACATTCGAAATCGCACGCAACAACAAAAATATATATGTTAGTAAGCAGCATGATCAGCACAAAAATATCATATTGTGGAAGCCCACCAGGTACCCCATCTACATACAGCATTATTTACATTATGGAGGATTTTGTTTTACATTCCATCGAAAATTATTGAAATTATACGTGCCACAAAGCAGGCTTTATGTCACTTAAATGGGTGTTGTTGGGCTCAGCCCTATTTCGTGCTTTGCCGTTCTTTTGCAGCCTTTCTCTGATTCCGTTTCGACACCAATACGTACGCGGCGCTCTGTCGACAAAAATAAACCACGAGGTGTGCGCGGCGTTGGATCTTGGGGGTAGGTGAGTTACAAGCGTATTATGGTTGTTATGCTTGGGTAATTTCTTAGACAGCACTGTTGCGCCTTGTGTCGTGGTTTTCCGTGTGAGCGTCAACTACTTTGGTTATTTGCTAGCGCCATGACACGTATTACACGAGAAACAGGTGACGTTTAAGGCGTCAACTGGACCGGAACTTCTTCACGAGCTGTAAGATCGGGAGATTATACATTGAAATGTCGACGTGCAGGGTATTAGTCGGGATTGATCAATCAATCAATCAGGAATTATGTCATTTGTTTAGTTTGTGGGCCGATGGTGTTGGGATATTCTGAAAAGCTTGCTGACCTGCTTTCTGTGATGTCTATGAAAGCTATGTGGTCACCCCATTCATTGTGATCCTTAGGCTGTGATTCTGCACCTGGAGTATGATGAACACATGCAGCATCTCTTTAAAGTGTGCCCCATGTTCCAGTATGGCTTTTAATGAACTGGTAAGGGTGTAAGGGAGTGACATTTGCTGTTTGTAAAGCTAGGAAGGATTTGGGCAGGTTATAAGTGTTTTTCATGAAATTAAGATGAAGTGGCTTGCTTGAATTCTTTCAGAATGTGTACGTCTATCTCTTACTACGTATCTTTGCATGACACATTGGTATTCTTGATGATTTTATGAGGGACTCACTTCAAAATTGGCTGGTGCTAGATTATGACATGAGCTGGCAGGGTTCTGCACCAGTGCACCAGCCAAACTTAAGCCTTAGAATTGCTGCAATAAATGAACTTATTGTGATAAAAATGCTTTGGCCCACCATTTCCCTCTCCTTGCTGCATCTATCCTTTTGCTTCATGTTTCCTTTGCCTACTGAGCCCTATAATTTCCACTGCTCCTTTTAAATTGTAACTACAAGCAGTCCTCAGTGTACCCAAAATGTCAGGCTAGAACCTTAGATCTAATAATTGTTAACTTAATGCAGGCAACATCCAGCCTCTCCAGAATCTTCAGCCCAACTCCATTCCATTTAGTGAAGTATCCCCAGCTACAGACCTTTACAGCAACTTATTGTTTTTTGACTATTTTAGATGCTGCTACATGTGAAGCACACATTATCTAAACTGCAGCCAGCAGCTAGATTATCCTGTACCCAGCAGCATGAATATCCACCACTCACACCAGTCCACCTGCCCTTGGTTTTCACTCATTCACTGATTTGTGTGCTGTCACATCCAGTCAATCACCTCCTTCATGGTGACTCTTAAAAACAAGGGCATTTGAGACATTGACTCTGAAGGCATGAAGATGGTTTCAAGCCCTTCAAACCAAATCTGACACATTTTACAAAAGGGTTAAAGTTGATCACACATGTGGCATACAAGGCCTTGGATAGTATAACTAACACCATTGTCAAGTCAGGTTACAAATAATTCCATAAAAAAACTGACGAAAATTCTGAATAGCAATGCAAGTGACAAGATCACAAGGCCATGCACACCTTGGCACATCCAGCACAAGTTACAAATCACTAAAAAGTAGGTGATTTCTGGTGAATGACATTGTGGACAGGTGGTGATAACATGTTTTGTGTGCTTGTAGATTATCATCCACCTCCAGCAAGGTGGTGAGTGGCTTTAAAATACCAAGTGTCATAGTGTTACATACACAAGTACATGTTGTATGCCTGCATTCTGTATGAATTATGACTTTCTTCCAGAATTGTGACACAAGCCAAAACAACTAATCACAATGGGCAGAAAAGCCAAGTTCAGTGAGCTTGCTACATCTGGAAGACGTCCAAAGCTGAAGCCTAAGCATCAGCTGGCTCCTGTTGATTCAAAGCAAAGAACAAGATGAAGAAAAAAATAAACAAGGTGTCAGTTGCTCCTAAAAAGTTGAACAGGGTGAATGAGAAGTCCTATGGTTCTGCTAAGACCAAAGCTACAAAGAACTACCAAAGTGCTCCCAGACAGTGAAGAGGATGAAGATGACGGACGAAAATTCTTCCGAAAATGAAGATATAGAAGCAGAACCCCAGCCCTTCACAGATGAAAATGATGAGTGGCTGAAGCCGAAGAAGGTATCCCTAATGGACTCGGATGACTCGGGTGAGTCAGATGGTGCGATGGGGGACGACTTCGGTGAGGACGCCTCTGATGATGGCGATTCGCCGGACGAGGAAGGGAGCAGTGACGACGATGAGAGTGAGGACGAGGCCGGCTTGCTGCCGGTCGAGCGGGCGGCCAAGCGTCTGCTGAAGGAGGAGGCGAAGGAGAAGCGTCTGGCGCAGGCTGAGCTGGACAGCTCGGTTAGATCAACATCGCTGAAGAGGACAAGTTTGTTTTGCCATCAGCTGAGGATCAGGAGCGCGAAGCGAGCCTGCCGGCAGACCTTCAGACTCTGAAGACACGCATCCACGACATCGTGCACGTGCTCAGCGACTTCGCCAGCCGGCGGCAGGCGGACCGCTCGCGCCAGGAGTACGTCCAGCAGCTGCGGAAAGACCTGTGCCTCTACTACAGCTACAACGAGTTCCTGATGCAGCACCTGATGGATCTGTTCCACGTGTCGGAGCTGCTGGACGCGCTCGAGGCGAACGAGATCCAGCGGCCGGTGACAATCCGCACCAACACATTGAAGGCGCGGCGCCGCGACCTGGCGCCCAGCCTGATCGACCGCGGCGTCAACCTGGACCCGATCGGGCCCTGGTCCAAGGTGGGCCTGGTGGTGTACAGCTCGCAGGTGCCGATCGGCGCCACGCCCGAGTACCTGGCCGGACACTACATGCTGCAGGGCGCCTCCAGTATGATGCCCGTGCTGGCGCTGGCGCCGCAGGACGGCGAGACTGTGCTCGACATGTGCGCGGCGCCCGGCGGCAAGACCACCTACATCGGCGCACTCATGAAGAACACCGGTATGATATACGCCAACGACTCGAACTCCGAGCGCTATCAAGGCCGTGGTGGGCAACCTGCACCGGATGGGCGTGACCAACGCCGTCATCTCGTGCGTGGACGGTCGCGAGCTGCCCAAGGTGCGCTCGGGCTTCGACCGGGCGCTGCTGGACGCGCCCTGCTCGGGCACGGGCGTCGTCGCCAAGGACCCGGCCGTGAAGACGTGCAAGGACGAGAAGGACATCCAGCGGTGCGCGCAGCTGCAGCGCCAGCTGCTGCTGGCGGCCATCGACTGCGTCAACGCCAAGTCGGCTACCGGCGGCTACGTCACGTACTCCACCTGTTCCATATTGGTTGAGGAGAACGAGGCGGTCATCGAGTACTGCGCTCAACAAGCGCAACGTTAAGGTCGTGCCCACCGGCCTGACGGTCGGCAAGGAGGGCTACGTCAAGTTCAAGGCGAAGCGGTTTCACCCGAGCATGTCGCACACGCGTCGCTTCTATCCGCACACGCACAACATGGACGGCTTCTTCGTGGCCAAGCTGAAGAAGTTCTCCAACACCATTCCGGGGACGGAGCCGGCGCCAGAGGAGCCTGCGCCGCCGGCCAAGAAGCGCAAGGCCGAGCCTGACAGCGACGAGGGCTTCGACGACATGGAAGAGTCCCGGTGTGTCGCCATCTGCCAGGGAAAAGCCCCGAAAGAAGACAAAACAGCAGCACTCGCCTGGCGCGAAAAAGGGGGATTCAAAAGCGGTCGCCGAAGGGGAAGAAGTGGACCGGGTCGGCAAGTCCGAAGGTGCAGCATCAGAAAAAGAAAAAGAAGTTCGGGAAGTCTTAGGATTGTTTGTGACGAACTGTGTAATGCTGGTGGGGTCGGTGTTGCATCATTCGGGGGTTTGTCGACGGCGGGACGCTGTCGAGGTGGTATCTCTGAACGCGCCATAGCTGTGAGGGGGAGCTCTTGTTGGTTGGTAAACCACTGCTCGGGCTCGTGGCCTATGCAGGGTGGCCTGACGCTGGTGCTTGCTGAATGCTGGATTGAAGGAGCCCTTCGGTTGAAGAGCTCTTGTTTAGGTCATAGGCGCACGCAAACATGTCGTTTATGTCCACCTGTCATACGCATGCGTGTCATGTTACGTACTCATTTCGATGTTGTAGTGCTGACATCAGCTATTTCCTCAACAGCAAAAGTTTTTTTTTTCGGTGCAGTGAGATGGACCAATAAAAGTGACCCAGAATGGATCAGCCTTTGGCACTAGGACACCCGTGCCGAGGAAAGAACGAGGACTGTGACCTACTTGAGACAAGGAAACTAACTGTTACACGTCCCATACTCAGCTGGGGAGCCACGCAAGAGACGACTAGAAAAAGAAACAATATCGCGGCATTGAAGGGATTTTTGTTTTGTTACCTGTCTCACGCGAACTAAAGTTAGGCGCCGTATGGTACCCTGTTTCATCTCGCTTTTGCTATCGCCGGATAGTGAGAGATAAACTCCGATCACTGGGCGGGACCGCCAGCGTGCCGGGAGGGGGGGGGGGGGGGGGGTAGCTGTAGACAAAGCCAAGGAGATGGTATCGTCAGCGTCACCGTCTTAGGCGAGTTTTGTAAATGATTGCCAATCGCAGCCTCACGTGTGCTGCGGCGAACAGGTAAGAGGTTACATACCAAATGCATGTGGCTTTTATGCTGTTTGCCTCTTCATTCCTGATAGCTCGGGCTGTTTACCAAGCTGTGCTTCAGCGCCGACTGTTTTAAAATATTCCGATGTCTTCGGTATCTTGCTTTCTGTCGTCCCAAGGACAGCACGTTTTTGGCCTCAAACGTCCCGGAACTTTGTGCACCAGCGAGTCACTTCCTCTGAGGGGGACGGCGGGGACCGCGTGCGTTTCGGCTATGGACGTTCTAAAAATATTACCGTTTGTCCGTGACCGCTCCGCGGCGTATGCCGGCTGCTGCTGAAGTCCAGACAACGTTCCAGTGTTCTCGTTCCAACTGTGCGACGCTGCCTTTCACGGGTTAAGGTGGTGGTCTGTGACATGTGCGACAAGATGCGTGAATAGCCATATGCCTGAAAAGCTGTCGATGAAAAGATGCACATATCCGGACGTGTACGCGTAGTAGCGTCTTTCATTAGGGCCGAAAGCCTCTCATTCGTTTCCACAACGCTCTAGACGAACCATGGTCTTCGAAGCAGCCACGTCGCAACAGCAGCTCCGCTGCCTGCTCACGACCACCGGGACGCAGTCGCTTTGTTTGCGTTGGTCACCTGCCTTTCTGCCTTTCTTTCGCCTCCGCTCGGTGGCGCTGCCTGTCCGCCCGCGGGTCACAGCGACCACCGGGCTGGGCAACGCGCCAGATCTGCCGTGCTCTGCCCCTCCCCTTCCCTCGCCCTCTATTGCGGCGGCGGAGGAGGCAGTATTTTTACCCGGACGCTGCTGCGCGGTTCGCTCGCCAGGCTGTGTAATCGGCCGCCCGACACAGGCGGGTGCCGCGTCACAGGACGGCAGGGCGGCGCGGGGTGCGGTGCAGTGCGGCCCGCGGCGACGCTGCGCCATGAGGCTGAGTGTGGTGCTGGTGGTGCTGTGCCTGGACGGCGTACGCCGCTGGAGACCGGCGTCGGGATTATCGCGAGGACACCCAGCGGCAGGAGGGGCACGGCAGTGAGCGCCACCATTCCCCGGCCGCTGAACGACACCAGCATCGGCACGGCGACAAGAAGAAGGCGTTCCAGCGCCAGCAGCACCAGCACCAGCACGACGAGTCGGAGAGGCTGGCACAACGAGCGGACGTTCAGCCACCTGACGGAGCGGGACGGCGGCAGCAGCTGGCAGCACTCGCACCGACGGGGCCAGCCAGACGCCCCGGTCGGGGGACAAGGTCGGGCCGGGGCGGGGGACCGGCACGACGGTCAGGAGGGCACGGACAGAGGGCGGCAGAACGGCAGGAACGGCGGGCGACAGGACGACGGCAGGCGGTCGGAGCACCGACGCCGGGAGGACAACGGACGCGCGGAAAAACACACGGACAGACACGGAGAGAGGCATGACAATGGATACACAGACAGCGGCATGGACAGACACACGAACAAAAACGAGAACAGACATAACTGACAGGCATGCGGACAAGCGGCACGGCCACAGCGAGCAGCAAGCTCCGGACGCCCGATACCACCAGAACGGCGGCAGCGAGGCTCACCGAAGGGGCGACATGCACCGCGCCAGCCAGGCTGAGCCGGCGAGGGAGCGCGGTCCCGCGTCAGCCTTGCCACACCCGCCCGCCGCCCCGCAGCCCGCGGCCGACGAGCCGGCGGTGGACGAGCCTGCCGCCAACGAGCTGATAGTGGACGAACCGGCGGTGGCGCTCGGCTCGGACGGCGAGGCAGCGCCGGCCATCGTGCCGCCCCCGCACGAGCAGGTGGCGGCCATGGCGCGCTACGTGGTGCACGTATCCGACTGGACGGCCATGGCGACCATCTCGAGTCGGGAGCCGACGCGTGGTATGCCGTTTGCGAACGTGTTCTCGGTGGCCGACGGCACGCGCTACCGCTCCACTGGCGTACCCTATCTCTACCTCACTGACATGGAGATCTCCGTCAAGGACCTGCGCGTCAACAACAACGCCTCTCTGACCATGAGCCTGGCGCAGACCACCTTCTGCCAGCAGCACGACTACGACCCGGAGGATCCGCTGTGCGCGCACGTGATCCTCAGCGGTCGGGTGCTGCAGGTGGACCCGGACGAGCCCGAGTACACGTTCGCGCGGGACGCGCTCTTCGCGCGCCACCCGGAGATGCCCGACTGGCCGGTCGGGCACAACTGGTTCGTCGCCAAGCTGGATATCATGGACATCATCGTGCTGGACTTCTTCGGCGGCGCTAAGACGGTCAACACGGTCGACTACTTCGCCGCCGACCCGTTCAAGATTGACCCACGGCTCGTCAACCGGGTCTGAGTGGGTCCCGGGACCCAGCAAGCGGGTCTCAACTGGTCTCGTAATTCGTCGGGTGATCCTGAGTGAGGCGACCATCAGCGCTGTAACGGCCAATGGAGTGTCGGCGTTGTGGTCATCGCAAACCTGGCACAAGAATGATGCATACTGGAACTGGTCGCTTCGTGCATCGCATGTCAAATTTGCACGGCGAACTTCTCTCCATTTAAGAAATGTTGAGCATATGTCAAACATATGCATATTATAATTGGCGCATGTTTAATCACGGACGTGTATGCATGACGGCTCTTGTCAAATGCATCTGATTTATTTGTCATGGTGACTTTTGACGCGAATTTAGTGCGTGCCACGCGGTGAATTGAATAGTACAAGAAATTATCATGTTTATGTGCCAAGCCCGTTGTCTTGTGCAAACACACTGTCCTTACCAAAATAAGTAGTGGAACGCCGCGTACATGACGGAGTTACTCATTCTAACGTCATATAAATACCATCAAATTAAAATGTTTAGTATTGGATTGGACACTTTCCTCGTGGCTATCATGTTGCATCGATGACCCTGCTTGCGTATTTAGAAGCGTACTAGTGTGTTTGTCAGGATAAATGCACATCCGTTAAAAAGTGTGCTGATTGTGCCTTTACCATTTCACCTCTTAGCAGAGTTCTCAGAGAACCTTATCATTGTAACCTTGAAGTCCGTTTTATTTCTTGCATGCAGTGCCTAGTTATATCCTCTCCAGCAAAAGGCTGCTGTTGTGTATTCTCCGCTTGGTCTGTGAATGCAATGTCATTTATCCTCGGTGATGAACGCTGCCGTTGGCCTTCCATGGACCGGGGGCATTGGCGCGGAGGAGTAAACCGCGTGGCGCGATGCCCGCTTCATAACACAGCGGCACCAGGTTAAATATGTTGCCGGGGAATGACGCAGCGTTAAAGGGACAAATAAAGGAAAGCGGATTTTATGGCTTTATCAACGCAGGAAGATTTTTATGTTTATGTGCACGCAGGCACTATTCTGGTGGTGCTTGAATGAGCCTGCGTTTTTGAGCGGGAGCGTCATGTAGCACATGTTGTCGCAGCTCTGCGATAACAGCTGCGACGACAGTGGTTTGCTCCGCCAATGTGCACGTCGACGTCAAAATCAAGAACATATGGGTAATGCTTATGTAGAAATACACATATTCCCATTACCTCAACCGGTAATGGGTGGAGGACACAGCGACTTCCGTTCCATCCCCTGCATGTTGTCATCTTAACGCCGCGGCTTGGCTGCCGCGTCAGGTCAAGGTGTCCTGGAATCTGACACCCACATGTGTTCTCTACAATACAGCGAGGTCGCGACGAATTGTGTTTTGTATATTCAACACATTTTGAAATACCCCAGACTAGTGGGTGCACTTTGAATTGCTCCGAACCACTTCCAGTTCTCATGTTTGCTGCCGTTTTTTTTAATACATTCCCTATGCGTGTTAGATGCCGCTGATTTCGGTTAAGATGACACCATACATTGAGACAAAAGACGCGTTCGGCCGGCAGATAATCTCGGAAAGTGTCTATTCGGTGGTCACATCGCGGCTGGATCGCCCCACACACAACGGCGAACCGTCGCACACAACGCCGACAGAGAGACTCCCCACCACACGCGCCCGAGCAGGACCTCTCATACTGCTTCCAAGGCTCATACCCGCAACACGATCTGCGTGCGACTGGCGGGCGCCACCGTGACGCACCGCCCCGAGCCGTGATTGTTCTCACTCAGACATGAGTCATCGCCCCACTCGCATTACATGCTGACACACTGTCCCGGGTCCACCGCTACAAAGTGTCCGGAATGTTGGAAAACTCTCCGGAATGGAGTTCGACACTGCTGACACGGAAAATTATCCCAGATCGTTTTCCGTAGCGAGGGTGAATCCTGGATAATTTTCAGAGCATGGTCAGGACGGAAAATCTGTTTTCATTATGCATAGCTCTGACCGTTGGCTTTGGATGGCACATGGGAGACTAACGTGGGGAATGATTTTTGGGGCCGGCCATATGTAAATGCACAATCTCCGCGGATGATTATCGGAGAGATAATCATTCGTTGGATAATTTTCCCTCGGCCGAGCGCGTCCAAAAATGATCCATAATTCAGACTCTGCACTGCAATGCAAAGCAAATGATACAATCCTGTTACCGCTACCGTTGCTGCATCTGCTTAGCAGCTATGTCTTGTAAGTATTCATGCATACTTACACTGACTGAATTATTGGCTAGAAGAATATAGGCGGGCCCATGAAAAACACAAATCGTGGATGTTGGATTATAGCAGTCAATTAATGTTTGACAGGTAACGCGACGCAGGACATACAATCACCAAAGACCAGAAGCAAGGCCGCGCTGTCTCTACCCTAGGGCCTTGGTCTCGACCAGCTTGGAAGAGTTGTGTGGATCAGTTGGGGTTCATTAAAGTACGTATTATTGACATAAGATAATATACAGTGGTAAGTAATATCATACTTATTGTGCCTGGGATGTGAGGTGCTCATTTCTTAGTTTTAAGTACGGCATCCAGATGCATCAGACGCGTTTCGATTGGTCAAAAATGCAAAGAAGGGTTTGGTCCAGGTTCAGGGCTTCTCAACAATTGCAAAACTGAATGAATAAGCACATGTTACACCAAACATTGCCTGACATATCAGCAACACCATGGCAAAAATTTAACATGTGTGCACTAAATCAGATTGCTCAGAGCTGGGTCCATGGTCACCATTAATTTTGTGCTTAGATAGTCCATGTGTCAGGGAATTATGGTGTTGTGAAGAGCCAGGCCTCAGTCAGGCCAGTGCACACAAATGTGAAGTCCAGTGCCCAGATGTTGTGTATCTGGCACAGCAGATGCTTTTTTTGCTGACTGGGGATTGGGGCCTTGGACTTATGATATTGCTATAAGCTTACAAAACAAATATTTTTCTGCATCATGCCAGATGAGATATGCACATATATACACTAGATGCATAGAAGGAGAAATATTCTGGGTTTCTAATAACATAACCTGAGTTGTGGCATTGGGTAGATGCCCCCACTGGCCAGTCTGAAAGCTATGTCAGGTTTCATTGAGAGCTCATAAGGGCTTTGGTGCAGCCTCAGGTATCCAGTAAAGAGGCTGTCCCAAACATCTGATCAGCTTCCCTACAAAAGCTCCCAAACTGGACTATTGATTCATGCCTACCACACCCATGTGGACATCACAAAGCCATGTGCCACCCTGAGTTTTGGCAACACAAAGTACTGGGAGAGGTGGATCTCATTTGCTCTCTTGTATGGACCAATTGCAAGACATTCTGTACTGGTATATGGTTGTTACTCTGGTGATCAAACCATACAATGCTTTGTCTGCTGCCATTATGCAGCCTGTGATGCGCTGACACAGGTCCTGCTCATCCTAACTGGTGTTGTCTTGAATGGGCTTCTGCTCTGAAGCTACAATGATTGTGTTTCAGGTTGGACATGGCTGAAGTTGACCTGCCGTCAGGCCCACAGGATGGAGTGGAATACCCTCTTACCCTCCACTACTGTGGAAACTGCAGCATGCCACTGGAGGTACTGTAGACATTTACTCAGATGACCATAGCTGTGGGCTGGAAAGATTCAGGTTCACTTAGGCACTGCCTGTGCATGGGATTTGTCATTTGTCACAAAGCTCTTAAATTGTGGAGAGTAACATGGTGGGTGGTGCTGCAAGATGATTTGGCATGCATCCAAGTTTGAGAAGCCTGGGTTTGATGACAGCCCACATGCTGCATGACTATTCACAATTTTGTCCCTCCATTTGGAATATGCAGGGTCTTGTTGATATCCTGCATCACTGATGTACCTTTGCATCTGGGATATTATGCATGTAGTTTTCAAACTGCTGTGAAACCAAACTGCACTCTCCCTTTTTTGGTGATGGTATTACTTTAAAACTTGTTTAACACAAGGGTTTGCATCAAATAGTGGATAAATCAAATACAAGAATTTAGTACAAGGGTTTGCTTAAAAAAGTGTCTGGAAGTGTCAGATTCAAGCATTCAGTAGGCCATAATATATTCATATATGATACACAATATTTTTCTGAACAATGACTCTTGTCATGCAATAACAGGTGATACAAATGTCTCAAAAAGGGAAATGGCTAAACATGCAATTCAAAGCATTTTGATGTTGTCACAAGCTTAAACTTAAAAAAAAACATTAAGTGTCATGCAGCACACCCTAAAACTCCAATCAAGAACAATATAGTGTCATGGCTCTTCTTGCCCTCTCATCTTTTTCCCCCCATTCCTACTCACATTTTTTACTGAAAGTGAGGTTGCTGATAACATGTAATAGATGCTTGTGATCCTTGTTATTCACAGAAATAAGAAATTGGGCAGGGCAATGGTAATATGAGAAAAGAGCAATACAGTTTACTATATCTATCAAAGATCAATTTGATGCAAGCTGGCTTTCAATGCATGGCTGGTAGAATATCAGCTGCGAAGCTGTGACAAGTAAACATAAACAGACCTGTGCTTGACTTCAGGTATAGTTTAAACTAAATGATCTAAACTAAATCAACATTTTTTCACAATATCCTCTGCATAACATCTAATGTATGTTTTTGTCTGTCTTTCAGTACTGCGAGTTCTACCCACAATATGAGAAATGCAAAGAATGGCTTGAGCAGAATCTGCCAGATGAATTTGACAAAATGCTAAAGCTGAGTGAGTCACTGGTACAGTGCTCTAAGGCCGTGTTTCACCTGTACACGATGTTCACTACGGAGCCAAGCGACTCACCATGTGACCTCAAACACATCAGTTGGTTTTTTAACATGTTTAGAACACAAAAAGCTACCAATACCAGCAAACTTTGCATGTATAAATAGTGTTTGTATAGAGGAAATGTTTCACCTTCATCGGTATTTACCATAGTACAGAGCACGCCAAAACGGAATGTGCCTTGAGTCCTGTTTTCCGTGTCTGACAGCGAGGAAATACGAAAAGTTACACCACGTTTGCGGTTTGAGATAGTTTCCATCGCGCTGCTGCCTCCGCCGCGACTCCAATCACTTTTATTCGGTAGAATCTCGGCCATAACGCCGGAAGCAAAGTTTCAAGCAAACAGTATGTCAGATGTTCGGGCTGTGTTGGGGTTCAAAGTGTTCCTCGCAGTGATGAGGTCTGATCGCTGTGGGAAACTTGCTGGGCCCTATCTCTTCAACCGAAAGCAATAATTTGGTGAGCCTCAATCCCTATGGTGTTACTTAGTGCATGCTCTCACGTTGTTCTCCCCTGTCCCAAGATGACGGCAAAGATGACGGAGATGACGAGAAAAAACGCCAGAAGAGGGGCGGGAAAGGAATGATGAGAGCTAAGAAGAAGGAAGAAGTCGAGAAAAAGATCTGCCTATCGCGCGCACCACGGGGGAAAAGGAAGTCTGTGACCGTCATCACCGGACTCAGCACGTTTGGTAAGCTTCACGAGGCTGTTTTTTTTTTTTTGGTTTGACGTTTTTAAGTCTCCCTTTTTCGCGTGCAGATGAATACGTTGAATTAAGCTGAGTGTGGTATTGTAAGATGCATGTTTGGTTGTCACTGTACGTTTACCGCCAAGAAGGAATGTGGCCATTCCGCAACGTTCGGGGAGCAGGGAAATCAGTTCCAGACTATGTTTTATCATTTCCATGGCACAATTGTAGCGTAAGCCAGTCACCAGCTCTGTAAGGTTGGAGGCATGTTCGTTTACGTCGTATCTGTGTCTATGCCGTCGGATCTATGCACGACTGCGTTTTTCGACATATCATAAGGATGCTTGGGTAGGATCTGCTGTTCCAAGTGTTCTCAAGGTCTTCCCGACAGCACACGGCATATTGGCGCTGCATTCAACGAAAAGTGGTATCCGTGTTAGCGAACACTTGGTCTTGGAAAGTCTCGTGGCACGTGCCGTCTGCTCTGTATTTCAGGCATAGACCTGAAGGTGGCCTCTAAGTTTTTCGCCAACAAGTTCTCGTGCGGCTCGTCGGTGACGGGCAACGGTGACGAGATCGTGGTACAGGGTGACGTTAAGGACGACCTGTTTGACATCCTGCCCGACAAGTGGGAGGAGGTGAGGCCCACCGCGTGCGCAGCGTGCTGATCTCCTGCACCGCTGATGCTCGGCTAGTTGCAGCGACTGTGAGACGGAGAGCTGAAGCAGGGCGCGCAACTGGCCGAGCGGTCAGCGCCCTCGGCGTCCGTGGGGGGTGGGGCGGTGGGTGGGGGTGGCAGGGGGGGGGGGGGGGGAGGGTCGAGTCCTGATTGTGCCATGGTCTCAGGGAGCTGATGTAATCACTGCTGACAATGGCCCAGGCAGTGTGTTTGCCCCCCCCCCCCAAAAAGAAGAAGTGTACGCTCAGGTGATGTGCACGCTGCCGGGTGTGCACGATAGCCCATGGCTGTATTTGTGTGCTTAGGTTTCGGTCGCATACAGCAGGGAGGCCACAGTGCGGCTACCGTGTTTTTTTTTCTCTCTCTCTGGCTGCTGCGCGGTGAAGGTGTTTCACGGATTAATGCTCAATTCTTTATATCAGTGAAGCATTCAGAACGCATTTTGGGACGCTGGCTGGTAGCGGGGGTGGCTAGGCCTGGCCTTTGTGATCTAGAAAATTAAAGAGTTGTGAATGCACGTTAATAATTGTGACTGAAGTTTGGAAAAATGCGATAAGAATCCCCGGGATGCTGTCCCACCAGCTGATTGGTCCAGGCGCCTGCTTCCTGACACTATCGTCCGTGCTCATAGGCCGTGGTTTGAGTTCGAGACCGGCTATCACAAAGTGGCGTTGGCCGTTTCCCATTTGATTGCTGGCGTTCCCACGGATCGGACGCCGTTCCGTTGGCTGGGCGTTTTGTACTCGGTGTATTCGTGCATATTAAGTATCCAGTTCAAGGTCAACTGATCGGGCTGCTTGGTTCAGATGCATGGTTGACTGGCTCAAAACCGGTGGATCGTTGGTTGTCGCTGAAAGACAACCAATCTTTTGAAGGAAAGTTAGCCGTCGGGGTTTCATTTCGGCGCTCCCAATCAGTTACAAAAATTGACGCGCTTACCGTAAACCCATGGGTCCGTGCCACTTGGGGGTTGTTTATGCTTTTCTGTCGTACTGGAAGGCGGGGTCTGGGTTTTCCGACGGAACATAATGTTGCGAACTTCTAATAAAATTGTATTAATTTGGTCGAACATACGGCAACAATGAACGAAGCGCCTAAAACCCAAATAAGCAGGCAGCCATGTCGCACCTTCCGTTCCCACCTCGCAAGATCTTGCAGCGCACCTTGCCCCGGGCAGTTCCGGGGCCGTACCGCCGCTGTAGCCGCCGCTAAAGGGCGGCCCTCCCATTCTCCCTGTCCTGCAGGGAGAATTGGGCGGCCCACAGCCCATACAGCCCACAATACGGCGGGCTGCCCTGCGGGGCAAGGTATTTGAACTGTGCTCGCTACCTGCGAGATCATTCCACTCCGTCCCTGACCAGGAATTTGACAGCGCCCAAATGACCCGAACGGGCTGAAATATCGGGATTTTCAGCCTGCTAAACCGAGTTATCCTGATATTTATATGTCTGAAATGTCGTACCGAACCGAAAAAGCTTGTAGGGTGTTTGAGTGACGACCGAACTAGGCCCACCAGTATTTCATGATAATTTTGCCTGCTAGTTATGAGTTACGCCGGAACAAACATTGCCATGTAAAAAGCAGCGTCTGATTCTTTCAACTAGATCTCAGTTTGCTCGAGGATTTTCGCGTGTTTTACTCCCGCTACTAAGAACGCGACACTGTCAGCAATGTAGCTGGCGGCAAAAAACGCGGAATTAGCCCTCACGCACTGCACTCTTCGTCGGTGTTGGAAACATAGACAATATCAAAGATTGTGTTGTGCAAGCTATACAAACGGTGCGTTTTCCTTTTCAGATTGATGAAGATCTCATCGATGACCTGGGCGATCAGAAGCGGTGAAGCAGTTCCCTACGCTTCTGTGATGTGGATGAGGTGCCCAATATGCCTTGTTCGGCAGCCACAACAATAAATTAAGGCTCACACATCATGTGTCACAGTATGTGTCTGTGACTATATCTGCGATGTGGAGACTGCACGCCACTGGCTGCGTTATCGCTCGCCATGGGCTTGAATTCAGATGCTCTCACTTATGGCAATGTTCTTCGTTGAGGATGGCCTTGTTTGCCCTGTTTGAGCTAGGCTTTGCGAGGCTTTGGTGGAGGCAACTTCACGACATGCCGTCCCGGGCTGCTGGAGAGGAGTTCCAGCGAAAGTCTGGACGGCCGGAATCTTGTAAGGGATACAAAAGCCGCTGGCCCGGCGCAGCTGACGTCGTTGGGCAGCCGTGAACGCTGCCGTACGGTGACCCGTGTGGCCCGGAACATTACATAACATGCTGGACATTCGTTGCGCACGCTCCAAGTTTCCAGTCGGGCCGTGCTATCGGGCCCCGGTCGAATCCGGCCGCTCGAGCCGAGGCAAGCGGGGCAGGGCTGTGCTCGCGGGGCGTGTGGCGCCGTGCCGTCCGATCAGGGGAAAGGGGACACCGGCCGGCCGCCGCGGTGCAGAGTCGGCTGACCGACAGGTGCTGATTGTACCGACCGGTCAGGGGAGCGGGGAAACCCGCCGGCCTCCCCGGCACAGAGCCGGATGATGGAGCGGAACTGGTTGTGCCGACGGCACGGGCACGCGAGCCATACTGGAGTGCTCGAGGGAGCGTGACGCATGTGGACATCGCTGTTTGTGACCGAAAAAACAGGCATGTAGTGGGGAGTGCGATCAACGTGCCGCTGTGTACAGCTTTACACCTATTGAGGCTAACAGAACGTGTGTTAAAAATCAGCGTTAGATGTATATAGCATTTCTCAAATGCGTGCTTTGGAATGCCACGACATTGAGTTCCTGCCGCTAGCGCGGAGATGATATACCTGTAACCTATGTAATACCCCACATACGCAGAACGCCATGTCCACAACAAATCTGAAATGTGAGAAGGGCCTCGTCTTCTCTGCAAACCGTGACACAGTGTCACCCAAATTGCGTCCGACACTGTCGGGTTTGTAGCGTACACCAGCACACAAAGGCCGCGCCCACCTAAGGTTTACGGTGAGATATGACCGAGCAAGAGTCGTCTACCCTGTTGTTCACCCGTGTCTGGTCGACTGACCCAGTTCACGGATTCGGCGGGGGTCCTGCGGGGGCGGCGCGCGACCCACAGCCGGAGATGAACAGCGCCAAGCCCATGTCGGCCGCGCAGGAACAACGGGACTGATGTGCGCTGTAGGAGAGAGAGAGAGAGAGAGAGAGAGAGAGAGAGAGAGAGAGAGAGAGAGAGAGGAGAGGGAGAGAGAGGGAGAGAGAGAGAGAGAGAGAGAGAGAGAGAGAGAGAGAGAGAGAGAGATTCAGATGGGAAAGGGCTAGAGACGGGGGATCGGAACCATTTTCAGGGAAACGCCCAGGAGAGTTTTCAGATGGGGCTAGGAAAAATGAGAAGTTTATCGTAAAACCATGTGCGGGCCTCATTGAGCATTGCTTACAATGCTTTTGTTTTCTCAAGGCGCCTGTAGTGTGATCGGATGTTGGGGTTTGCGCTATTAATGCCAGTCAGAACGCTCTTCATGCTGATATGGTAAAAAAGTAGCATGAGGCCCTCGGACGTTTCGTGGTGTTGATCGGATAGTTTGATCGACATTCCGATGACGGGTAACGAACGAAGGTTGAGTACATGCTGTTGAGTCCAGCCATTCGATCTAGCCCTGGTTCTCGTGCTCGGCTCTCAGCCACGGGGACGGAAGCTGCAGGGGCCCGCGGCGGTCCTCTAGTACGAGACAACGTAAAGCCGGTGTCGGGACATGGCCAAATCCAATTCAAAATGCTCGCAAACCCCCTGCCGATGTGTGGCGAGCTGCAGGTCTCGAGGACGAGGACGAGGACGGGGTGTGACTAGGCCAGGCCTCGGCCGTGCCATGCTCAGTAAGCGGACAGTGCCTGCGCGCCCGGCGGCGAATATCGTCTGTTCACTCACGCGGTCCAACCTCCTGAATGCTTGGGTTCATTGTTGTACCTTCTCATTTGCGGTGTTACGACTGGATAACGGGACTGGGGTGGACGGGTCGAGGGAGTGAAGCGCGGTGTAAACCACTGGTAACGGGACCAGGGCTAGATGGGGTTAAAGTGAGGGAGGTGCGGTACGGACCACCGTGATCGTACCAGTAACGGGACCCGTGCCAGATGGGGTTGAAGGGAGTGTTCCAAATTTGAAGATATCAAAGCAAGCATCAGATATGATGAACTGATCTCACTCATAACTATTGTTACACTTTTAAACAAAAAAGACTGCTCTAGACAACACAATTTCTCTGTTTGATAGATATGTTCCGCAACACGTCACTTTTTATCTCGTCATCGTACCTTGCACATTAATTGAGATTCAGCTGACGGTCGTTATATCTGAAAATCGTGCTTATGAACGCCAGATATGAACGACTTGACAACTATATTTTTCTTGGCCTTGATCGTTACATGAGTGATGGATGACCGGATTCTAATAACGATTATTATGACGTCATGGATGTCTGGGTGACCTTGAAATAGTCTTCCCGAAATGTCTGCATATCTGCGGGGTCGTATGGTTCAGAAACTGGTTTAAAGGAAGTGTTCCACATAGTATTCCCGTAATAGTTGCACATCTTCACAGGCGTTTAGGTCAGAAACAAGATAAAGGGAAGTGTTTAAAATTTGTCTGGCGGTCCTGAGTCGAGGTAACCATTTTGAAAATTATTCGGTGCAGTTTATAGCCCTGGCTGAAAAACGTTCTTATTCTTAAATTCGACGCCCGCGAATCTGTGCAGGATGTTTCGTGCAGACTATTACTCAGATACCGGGATCCCATTAGTCACTTCAGCCAAGAACAACTATGACCACTATATAACCCTTGTGTGACGTACATCATCACGAATCATGGCATCAACGGCCATCGGGTGGCATTCGACTACTGGGACGCGCTGAGTGCAGAACACGAGCGCAGATCACGTTTTGTGGTATATTGTTCAGGAATCTTGGCAGTGGTATGAGTTATGAGTTAAGTAAGACTGAGAATCAAATTTATTTAGAATAGCGCCATAACCGATTATGTGCATGCAAGGCAACAATGTACAATCACGGAAAAATGCACGAAAACACCATGAGAAATGGCGATCACCCGCGCACATTACGATGTCAGGGTTTTGCGAACACGCGTGACCACGCGCGTCACCTCTCGATAGGATGAAGGAAGTACTACAAGGGAGTCAGCCAGCCCGTTTGCCACAGTGGTCATTCTGACACGACTATCAGGCAGCGACTCCGACGTCATGCAAACGTTGCATGACGTAATCAAACGATGACGTATTAAGAAGCTTATATACACCATGAGAAATGAAGCTGATTTCATCCCATGTCATGCTTGATTCGATATGTTCAAATGTGGGACATCCTGTACAGGGAGTGTTCCACAATTGAAGATGTTGAAGCAAGCATCAGATATGTTGAAATAAGTTCACTTGTAACTATAAGGATGTTTTTAAGTGCAAAAGACTGCTCTGGACGTCAAAAGCTCACTATTAAGTAAATGACATCCTTAAAACATCATCGCTTGGTTTAGTCACCGTACCTTGCGCAACATCGATCGTCAATTGACGGCCGTTATACCTGGACATTGTACTCACGAACGCAAGGGTGAACGACTCAATAATTATATTTTTATTGGCTTCTTCGCCACATGGTCAATGGAAGGCAGCTCTTGACGGACGTTGTTATGGCGTCATAGATGCCTGGGTGGCCTCGTTAACAGGGCGGTGTTGTGAATAGCACCGAAAGGTCTTCAAGGCGGCCATTTCAGATCAAAACCCCATACAAATGTGGAATGCTCCCTTCAAGCAAGGAAGGTGTGGTGTGAGCCACCAGTGATGAGACTTGTGCCATACGGGGTAACGTAAAGGAGGTGTGGCATGGACCACCGGAAACGAGACCTATGCCAGATGGGGTAACGGGAAAGATGTGTGGCATGGGCCACCGAAAACGGGACGGGTGGCGGGTGTGATTAAGTGTGGGAGGCGCAACACCGACAGCTGGTAATAGGAGAAATGTCCGTCGGGATTAAGAGCAAGGGGAACATTTTTTTTTTCAATTGCGCAGCCAGCTGGAGCCTTCTGGTTTTGTTACCCTACATACACTCGTTCCGCGGGAGTTTTATGCTCTCTCGCCACTCGACGCTAGGCAAAGCTCCAGCCGAAAGAAGGATTTCGTGACTTCCTCTTCTGTCCCACTTCGTGCCTTATTATGATGTCTGCCAGTTAAGTTCTCTGGCTTTTGCCACCGTGCATGCTCCAGTGAGTTCCAATGGGTTGTCCCTACTCTCCTCTGGACCTGCCATCGTACAGTGTAAATCAACCCTACCGCAGACAGGTACACCGATCTGAGCGCCGACACGCCCGAGTGACGTCATTATGTCTGGCTCCGATCGCAGCCCAGACCACCGCAGTCGTCTGAGCGAGCCCGTTCGCTGGTCGCATTCGCACGCGCGCCGTGGCTGAGGATCGGAAGACGATGGCCCCGCTGCGCCGGCGCCGTCCGTACCGGGCGTCATATGGTGCGTGACGGCTGGCGGGGCCGTTACCGGCCGCCGCCGTCCCTGGGAGGAGGCTGAGCAGCAGGCGTCGCCCGGCCTGACGTCACTGGCAGGGGCCTTCACGGCCCAGATTTCGTCCGGCGACGCCTTCACGGCCCAGTTCCGATCACTCGCAGTCGCCAGCGGACCGCGGGCTCGCGGCTGTGATGTGATAGACCGCCTGGCTTTTCAGTGACTCTTCGAGCACAGAATTTCTTGACTTATGATGCCGGTGGCCGCGACTTTGAGTCGCGTGTCCGCCGAGACTCGCATATGACTACCGGTATCCATACAACAACCGGTAGACATCCGTATGCGTTTCGGTTGATGCTGGGTTTGCCCGATCCGTGAGGAGACCTTCATTAGCTGCCAGTACGGTATTCCCGATTAGATCCG